GCTGCAACAGGCATGTGGTTGCTCATGTCAGGTTATGTCTGACCGTGGAGTCCTATCAGGTTCCTGAGGGCAGCTGCTAGAGTGACCTTAGCAGGGCATTTTCGTCTGTGGCCAGTGTGCACATCCAGAAAGTCTTTGCGGCTTTTCTCAGCCAGATTCTGGGAGAGAATCATCCAATTGTTCTCTTAATTCACTGTAGGTGATGCATGAACGTGTCCTCTGTGCATCTAAGATGGTACTAGTGGAAGTGAAAAAACAGGCTGTCATAGTTTTCTGTGTTCTGGGGTTCATTGAATAACCCCAGTTGAGAAAAGCTGGGACCTGTCAGACCTAGACGCCTCCCGAACCCCAGTCTCCACCCTTGGTTTAGGTACACAGGAAGTGAGAGACCTAAAGGAAACAGAGACTGGGTCAAATTTTCACAGCATCTCAAGACAGGTCCCTAAATGCCAGGCCAGGGCTGTGTGATGGGTAACATGATGGCTCCATTCCTTTTTCTTTATTCTTTGTGTGTGTGTGTGTGTGTGTGTGTGTGTGTGTGTGTGTGAGATACTGTGGATTGAGTCCAGGTACACTTTGCCACTGAGCCACAACTCTACCCCTTTTTATTTTATTTTGAGATAGGGTCTCTCTAAGTTGCTGAAACTGACCTCATACTTGTTATCCTCCTACCTTAGCCTCCCCAGTCGCCACTTCCCTCTTCATTTTAAAAACAGGGCAGACTCAGGTTGCTGGATTTTACTCCACTGGTTATGATGGTACGTTTGGGGAGCTGCTTCCCTGACCACTATATGCAGGAAAGGTGGGTTTGGGAGGTGGAGCAGTGTTCTCCTTCCCTGAGAGCTGAGGTCACAGCTGTAGGGCTAGTTCTGCAGGCAGCTAAGTGCGCTGTGGCCCTGGCATGGCTGGAGGAGGGGCAATAGCTAAGTGGTTTCTGAAAAAGGGCAAAAATGATGGGAAAAGCTTTGGGATCCTCTGGGAATCAGAGCCGTGGCAACAGCAGCTGCTGCCATTGCTGGAAATGTTTCCTTGAGTGCCAGAGTGTGCCCACGGCCCACCCCTGCAGTACGTCCTGGGGAGGGGCCAAAGGACCCTCACAGAGGCAGGGAGGAGCCAAGGACCCTCACACCAGCCCAACTCTTGCTTCAAGTAGCAATTGTCACTGAGCTCCCTGGCACCCACCGGTTCTGCAGTGTGCCTGAGTCTAGCTGGTAAGTCCCTTTTGTTATTTGATGGTCAGTGGAGATGTTAGCTTTTAGAATGGCCAAGCTGGGCCCTGCCATTTGCCAGTTGTGTGACAACGGGCAATTAAACCAGACTCTCAGTGCCTCATTTACTCCATCTAAAAAATGGGGATAATAGCAGTGATTCATGGAGACTCTTGCTAATAGGTGCTGCTAGGCAGGGATTAGTTTATTCTTTTGCATCCTCAGGGGTCACGGTGAGGCTGAAGTAAAATTACTGTGCACTCAGCTTGGCTAATCGTAAGCACCGGGTAAGTGATAGCGCTGTTGTTATCAATGTTATATTTTGTTCTGTGTTGGGTGAGGAGGCTGCAGCTGCTGCTGAGGCTGGAGGTTTGTGGCTGGAGGTTTGCGGGGCATTGCCCTCTCTGTGCGCCGGAGGGGTGCAGGTCTGGCTGGGGTCTTGTCTTGGCTCTTGTCTCTTTGTTCTTGACAGAGCCCCTCTGTTTTTCATTCCTGGTTTAGGGAGCCTTCACTTCTCCATCCCTCCTGGGGAGATGCTGAGTTCAGAAGAGGGGGTGAGGATGACAGTGCTGGGTCCTAGACCAGCGTTGTCCCAGCTTCTCAGAATGTCACAGGTGGTAGGAGGGAGGTGCTCCCAATGGATGGATGACTTGGGCAGAGAGACAAGTGGGAGAACTCTGCTCAGACGCCTTGCCTGTGTTGGGGATGGAGGAAGGGAGTCTTCTCCCAGGTGAGGGGCAGTGTCCTGTCTGGCTCTGGAGGTGAGGGAGACCCAAGAGGTCAAACCAGGTCTTGGTTGGGAGGGTTGGTTTTCAGGGCCATCTTTTAGTGCATCTTGATGAATTTGTGAATCTGGCATAAACCAGAATCCCCACTTCCATTAGAAGACCAACGTGTGTCCACAGACAACACAGTTGGAACCCCCCGTGATCACTGTCAAGTGTTCTTATGTGACAAGTGCATTGCTGTGGGACTCATGTGCAGGGCACACCCAGGCCAGGCAGTGAGACTATCCTGTCCCTGTTCCTCCGTCCACCCTATAGCAAGTGGCTCCTTTTCATTCCTGGGAGAAGCTTGATTCCAGTAGGAAATTATGTATAGAGTGTGTGTGGTGCTTATTTGGTGCTTATCTTGCTTCAAGTAGCAATTGAATGGTTTGTGAATAATCACAAATGATGGACTGAAGGGCAGTACCTCATGGGCTGCTTCCTATTTACTAGGTTTGGTTAAATTGGGACAAGTCAGAGGGAGAGACAAAGCCCCTAACCAACAACATCACTGAAAGATTCATGGAGACTCCTGCTAATAGGTGCTGCTAGGCAGGGATTAGTTTTTTTCTTTTGCAGCCAGCCTTACCCAAGAGGAGACCATGGACAGTCCAGGGAGAGCCTAGCATGGGATGTGACCTGGGTCTTATTTGCATTTTGGGTTTTGAGCTTCTTAGGATGCTTGTCTGAGTGGGAGAGTACTTCAAGTTTAGGGCTTGTACCTGGCCCCAGGGGTGGGAGTTCCTGGTCTGATCAGCCCCGAGCTTCTGGTGTGGGGTCTGGGGCTGAGTTTAATGTTCGAGAAAGAATGCCAAGCCTTTCAAAGAGGTGGTTGAGTACTGGCGATGCTCTAGAGTCAGGCCAGCTGGGATCAGATCCAGGTTCCACCTCTTTCTATCTGTGTGATCTCAGGAAAGTAACATAACCTTTCTGGGCCTCAGCTTCCACATCTGTGAAATATACATCTGAGAGCTCTTGGGAGAATTGAGTGTATGCAGGTAAAGGGCATAGAAGGGCTATTTGCCTTGTGCATGGAGGATGCTCAAACGTGCTGGCTATTCCTATTCCCATTCTCCTCCTATGCCTTTTATTTGCATTTATTTATATTTTTATTAATATATTATTATTATTATTTAGTGCTGGGTATTGAACCTATGTCCTTGCTCATGCTAAGACTATGCTTTACCACTAAGCTACACTCTCAGTCTCCTGTGCCTTTTAAATGACTACAGGCTTCCTATACTATGGATGGTCCTTGACAGAAAGTTATCTTCTGAAAGCACAGGTCTCCATGCTTTTGAAGCTACTGGTGGCTTCCTGTCATCCACACAATCGTGTCCACATTCTCTTTCTTGGCCTTCGAGACCTCCAGCCGTCAGGTTCTAACCCACAGCCTGCCCTATAGTCCCTCTGACTTGCTCTTCAGCTGCTCTGAGATTCTGCCATCTCCCCAGCCTCTGTTCAGTCTGCTTTCCTTCCAGGCCCACCTTGTCTGTCTTTCTTCCTCAAAGCCTCCTTCAGCACCTCCATCCTTCCTGTCCCAGGCAGACTCTGGTTTCTGTCTCCCATGGGACATGATTCCTTTTAGACCCACCAGCACAGAGCTGGGCCCCTAGGAGGCTCAGCAGATGGGTTGAATGATGGGATGAACAGGTGGGGGAGTGGCTGTAAGGGGGCTTTCTGTGGCAGGGAACACTCCCTGCTACAGGGTTCTATCTCATGGGTGAGTTAGGGACAGACTCAGGCCCTCCTGAGAGTAGACCACAGGGGAAGGAGAGTGGACTGTCTGTCTTCGGCTGTCTGCTCTGTTTACAAGCTGCAGAGCAATGAGGCGGGCTCACTTTGTTTAACATGATCTGGGCATCAGATCATAGCTGATTTATTGCTATGGCCTGGCCACATGCTCTGAGTTTTCACTGTTGAACTTTCACTTGAAAATGCAGGACTTGAGCTGCCTCTTAGTCCTTCAGTGGCTATTTCCCAGACATGGCTGGAATATTGATCTCCCCAACTCACTGCAGAAATAAAAATAAAGAGGCTCTGTGTCTAATTGTTCTCAATTCTCCCACAGAGACCAGAACAGCCTTTTCATAACAGGACAGATCAGGCAAGGTCTCTGCCCAGGAGAAGTCTGCAGGGTTCAGGAGAAGTAAAGCAGTGACAGATAGAATTTGTGGACCATGTGCTGAACTGGGCTAAAGTTATGAGCATGAATGGACAATGAACCAGGCCCTCTGGAGTCGGGAGGGGCATGACCCATGCAGGGATTAGGAGGTCTTGTGCAGGCTGTATCAGTACCATATCTCAAGGGGAGAGTCTGTCTAAGAGATGATAGGATTTGAGCGAGGGGAGAAGAAAGGAAGAGCACCCCAAATGAGGCCCCATAGGAGCAAAGACCCCTGGGATGGGGTGGCCTGGATATCAGGGAGTAGGATGCCCAGCTGGGTGGGAAGGAAGCATGGGAAATAAAGGCAGGGAGGAGGTAGACAAGAGCATGAGCACCTGCTTACAGCTGTATGTGTGGACCCTAACAGACAGCTTATCTACTGGGGTTCAGGCCTGGAGGGCCCACAAGCCCCAAATCACTTCATGTCTGAAAGTGCAGGCAAGGATGCCTGAAATACACTAATTTCACAAAATTACAAAAAACCTGTGCTTGAGTGCGTGCACACACGTAGACAAGCCCCTTCTTATGTCAATGGTTGTGGCGGCCAGGCTGAAGGGCAGAGGCAGGTGGTGCATGTGGCACCAGGGCACCTGAGGTAGGAGGGATGCCTAGTGCAGAGAGTAGGTGTCACCCTGTTCCAGGATGCAGACCACTTGACTCTTTGGGGCTGAGATTTCCTCATGACCGACCGACCTCCTTCCTGAATGTAGTTGGTAACAACCACTTTGATGGCTGCTTTTGTTCTGATCAGGGGAGGGAGTCAGGCAGTGGTACTCATCCTCATTCTGTGGATGAGCCAACTGAGCCTAGAGAATCCCAGAGGAGAGATCCTTCTGCCCCAAGCCCTGAGCCTGTGAGCTGCTCACCCTGGGGTCCAGGGGTGGGAAGTACAGTCCCGAAATCTTTAGTTCTGGGGTGCTGGGGGAAGCAATGGTTGAACTTTTGGGATGTCTTGCTTCACAAGAAACCTGATAAGGAAAGCAGGTAGGGGCTGAGGATGTGCAGTCAAGCTGCAAACAAACCCCATCTCTGGGGCTGTCCACAGGTTGCATACTGATCCACAGAGGATCTGGCAAGGATGAAGAAGTGGGCTAACGTAGACTCAGGTGAGTCTGAGGACCCACCCCACGAAGATTCCTGCCCAGACCCCCCTGATGGAGACCCTAACTCCAAGCAATCTCCAGCCAAGCCTCACATTTTCTCCACGACCAAGAGCCGCACTCGGCTCTTTGGGAAGGGTGATTCGGAGGAAGCATCTCCTATGGATTGCTCTTATGAGGAAGGTGAGCTGGCCTCCTGCCCAACCATCACAGTCAGCTCAGTTGTCATCATCCAGAGGCCTGGGGATGCTCTCACCTGTGCCAGGTAAGTCTAGAGTCCCCTCCCTGCCAGGGTCCCAACCAGCTCTAGGGGCAGCAGGCCCAATCATGGATACAAGTCAAGTGGTCCTACTTCTAGGTTAAAGGCCACAGATCTGGGAAGCTGAAGAGCTTTGGGAGGTGGTCTGCCCCAGAGTCTGCACTCTTAAGACCCCTGGGACTCCTGGTTACTGTTGTTGGTGTATATGCTGATCCTAGTTGTCCGTTGATGGCTAGGAATTCAGGCCTGGAATGCTTACCAGCCCTAGACACTTGACTCAAGGTCAGGAGATTTTAGGACAAAAAAGCTCCAGTGAGAAGCTCATCAGCCCTCCTGTATTCTCCAGAGCAAGGCAGGGAGGACTCACAGGCTGGCTGATTTCTGGGCAGTGGTAGGATGCCTTTATAGTTAGCAGGGGCTATGCAAACCCCTGCCTCCAGAGCCCTCCAGGTTACTACCCCCTGAGCCCCAGCAGAGAAGCAAATGAGCTGGGTGTTAGCGGAGGTGGCAGTGGTGAAGTCTTTATCAATGACACCTACAGTGTGGGGACAGAAGGGAGACACATACACCAAGGGTCCCTGCTACATTGGAATCCTGGAAGGTCACCTAAGCTGAGGTGTGACTTTGGGATATATATATATATATATATATATATATATTTTCCTTTTGGTTTGCCTTGGGGTTTGGTCATGTTTTCCTGGCAAGCTACAAATGCCCCTGGACCAAGGAGACATGAAGGTATGTGATGAAGGCCTTATCTGTCCTCAGGCAGCTGTCCCAGGACTCTGTCTCTGCTGGTGCTGAGAAGCCCCTCAAGCTCTATGATCGCAGGAGTATATTTGATGCTGTTGCTCAGAATAACTGCCAGGAGCTGGAGAGCCTGCTGCCCTTCCTCCAGAAGAGCAGGAAGCGCCTCACGGACAGCGAGTTCAAAGGTGGACCTCAGAGGGCTGGCTTCCTGGGAGGGGCCCTTTGCCCAGGTCTGCTCTGACTCTCAGTCTGTCTTTCAGACCCCGAGACAGGAAAGACTTGTTTGCTGAAAGCCATGCTCAACTTGCACAATGGGCAGAATGACACCATCTCTTTGCTCCTGGACATTGCCCGGCAGACAGACAGCCTGAAGGAGTTTGTTAATGCCAGCTACACAGACAGCTACTACAAGGGTGAGGAGGGTGGCAGAGTTGGGCATGGATCAGTCCACCTGGAACCAGAGGGGGGCTCTTATTCCCCTGAGCTCCTGACTCCCTGTACCAGCCACTGTTGGTTTCTCCTGGTTCTGATGGCTGCCTTCATCTTCTGCAGTTTCCTCCCTTGGCCCTGGGGTCCCTGCCTCCCTCCTGCTGATTTGGTGGTCCCTGGCCCTGGAAGTCATGACCTTTGGCCTCTCTACTACCATTCCTTGCCCCTGGGCAGTTTTGACAACTGTACCTTGCAATCTGGTACTTCTTGTTCTCAGGAGTCTCTATCCTGTCTCAAGACCTTCCTGGGTCTCCTTTGAGGATCCTGGCTTGGTCTTCTGGGGTGGGGAGGGGTCATTGACATACTTTCTGTCCTGTTCCTTCAGTAGCAGCTGCTGCCTGCCCAGGGCCCTTTCCTGGGTGTACCTGTCCCAGCCCCCACAGGACTATGATCACAAAGCCAACTGTGAGCATCCTCCACAGGCCAGACAGCACTGCACATTGCCATTGAGAGGCGGAACATGGCACTGGTGACCCTCCTGGTGGAGAATGGAGCAGATGTCCAGGCTGCTGCAAATGGGGACTTCTTCAAGAAAACCAAGGGGCGACCTGGCTTTTACTTTGGTAGGAATGCCATATGGCAGACACTTGGCTTTTTCACTTTTGCTAATGGGATGTTTGAGACAGAGGCAGAGGCAGAGGCAGAGTCAGAGGCTGAGGCAGAGGGAGTTGGAGGCCCTGTGGTTCAGGGACCACCAGTCTCACCATGAGCTCCGTGTTGGCTGCAGGTGAGCTGCCCCTCTCCCTGGCTGCGTGCACCAACCAGTTGGCCATTGTGAAGTTCCTGCTGCAGAATTCCTGGCAGCCGGCCGACATCAGCGCCAGGGACTCAGTTGGCAACACGGTGCTACACGCCCTGGTGGAGGTAGCAGACAATACGGCCGACAACACCAAGTTTGTGACGAGCATGTACAACGAGATCCTGATCCTGGGAGCCAAGCTCCACCCTACATTGAAGTTGGAGGAACTCATCAACAAGAAGGGGCTCACACCGTTGGCTCTGGCCGCCAGCAGTGGGAAGATTGGGGTAGGGAGGGAACTTTATCCTGAGTTGGGGACAGCTCAAGGTGTGGGTGGTGTGGGAGAGGATGGTGTGTGCCCATGGGGCTATTAGAGTAAGTCAGAGAGACTGTGAGCTGCTGAGCAAAACCAGCAAAGCAGACATGGCCGTTTCTGATTTCCAACTCTTCAGTATCTCCATTTCCCTGGGGTCGGGGTGGGGCTGGGGCCTAACTGGGATAGGGTTGGCGGAAACTAGGGAGAGAAAGAAAAAGTTGCTGTTGGTGTTTTTCCATGGCAAGCATGGTTTTATGGTAACAGGGAATGCCCTGAGGGGATGGTTTCGGGTAGGCCAAGTCCAAATCCAATGGGGGTATATAGATGATGCCAGGCCATAGAAGGCTGATGGAAGGGTTGGGGCTCTTGGGAGTTGGAGGAAAGGGGCTTCTCAATACCAGGGCATTCTGCAAGATTGTCCATGCTCGTCTGAGCCTCATAGGAGTCTGACTTTATGCCCTTGGTTTTATTTCTTCGATTTTCTTTTCTTTTTTCTGGCTGTCCTTCAATGAGGGATGGTAGAACTAGGGGCCCAGATGTGGTGGGTCTGATGTGGCTGCCACTAGAGTCTGAGGCAACAGCAGGTCCATTTTGGTGGTGGTCAGGAGCAGGTGGGGGCTTGCCTGGGTGGGAAAAGATTGATTTTCCCAGCAGCATTCGTGGACTGACTGCACGGAGCTGCAGCCTTTGTGGAGCTGGGCTCCCAGCTGGTTTCTAACCTGTTCTTACGCCCAGCGCAGGTCTTGGCCTATATTCTCCAGAGGGAGATCCAGGAGCCTGAGTGCAGACACCTGTCCAGGAAGTTCACCGAGTGGGCCTATGGGCCCGTGCACTCCTCACTCTATGACCTGTCCTGCATCGATACCTGTGAGAAGAATTCAGTGCTGGAAGTGATCGCCTACAGCAGCAGCGAGACCCCTGTGAGTGGCCAGGACTGACACCCAGCCAGGGAGGGCTCCAGTTATGTTGCACCCAGCCTCACTCTAGCCCTGGTCTGGCTCTACCTGGTTTCTTTTTTTTTTAATATTTATTTTTTAGTTTTCGGTGGATACAACATCTTTATTTGTATGTGGTGCTGAGGATTGAACCCAGTGCTGCGCATGCCAGGCGAGCGCGCTACCACTTGAACCACATCCCCAGCCCTCTACCTGGTTTCTCAGGGTGAAAACCTACTGCCCAGGGCCCATGTCCTGTAGCCTCATCTCCTCCTTCTTTTCTACCAAATGCTTTCCTGATGATTTTTATACCAGAAAAATAGGAACATTTCAGAAGAGCATAGTAGAAACAATCCTCCTTTTCTAAACACATAGCTTCATTTTAATTACATAAATGGAAATCATTGCTGAAAGCAGACTCCAGCCCCTAGGTCTGCTTTAGGAACTTAGAGCATCACCTCAGATATAGGAAGCAGGTGAGTGACCTTTTCAAAGCAGTGGGCAGGATGGACTATTCATTTTATTTTATTTAATTACATTTTGGCACTGAGGCCAAAATGTAATTGAATAAAATCCTATCCTCATCCCTACATAAAGACATTCCAGATAAAATGCCAAACATGAAATATAGCTATAAAGGAGTGAAAAGAAAGTATAGAAGGATATGTGTATAATCTTGAAGCAGAAAAGCCCCCCCCCCAATTTTCTTACTTAATTGTGTCTTGTGGATAGTTTTATATCTAGCACATATGGGTCTATACTTTGGCCTAGTATTCACAGTAGGGGTAAGGAGTAAATGTCCATACAAGGATATTTGAGTTATTTGCAGTTTTTGCTACTACAATGCTGCAGGCCACTTGGCCATAGGCTTAAGATATTTTCAATGAAAGATATGTGGAATTGGAATTGCCAAATTGAAAAGTATGTTCACTTAATATTTTCATAGCTACTGAATCAATGGATGTGTCTATCACCTGTAGATATACAACTGTATGCTGACCTGCATATTATCATCATCATTCTTCCTCCTCCTCCTCCTCCTCCTCCCCCCCTCCCCTCCTCCTCCTCCTCTTCCTCCTCCTCTTCCCTCCTCCTCCTTCTCCTTCTTTTGGTACTGGGAGTGGAACCCAAGGGTCCTTTACCACTGAGCCACATCCCCAACCCTTTTTATTTTTTTATTTTGAGATAGGGTCTCATTAAGTTGCTAAGGCTGGCCTGCAACTTTTGATCCTCCTGCCTTAGCCTCCTGAGTCACTGAGATTACAGATGTGCAGCATCATGCTAAGCAATCTTTTTTAAAAGCTAGTTTTAAAACCATGGAGCCAAAAATGCTATCTCATTGATATCTGAATTCTCATTTTCTTGATTGCCATGAGTTAGAGCATTTTTTTTATGTGTTTATAGACCTTTCATGTTTCTTTGGTGATTTCCTATTCATAGTCCTTTGTAATTTCAATGGGACCATTTGCTTCCTTTGTTTTGGTTTATAGATGTTATCCTTAATAATGAATCAATCCTTTCTCTGTGGAAGTGTTGTAAGTATTTTATTTTCTCCCAGTCTGTCTCTTGGCTTTTAACTTCATTTATGGCATCCTTTTCTTATAAAAGGTTCTCATTTTAATAGGGTCAGACTGGTCAGCTTTTTTCTTCTCTAGTGACTTTTTCTTCTCTTGTGACTTACTTAAGGAGGATCTTTTCCACTGAAAGATTATACACATACTTTCTATATTTTCTTTTTACTTGTTTATAGGTATTTTATGTTTGGCACTTTATCTGGAATGTCTTTGTGTAGGTGTGAGGATGGCATTTTGCTTAATTATTCTGGTTCCAAATGAAGGTCTCAATGCCATCTTGTGTACTGCCTTGAAAAGCCACCTTACCTGTCTCCTCTTTCTAAGGTGATACTTCAAGCTCCTAAAGCAGACTTGGGGGCTGGAGTTTCTGCTGTCAGCAATGAAGGGCTGCCATGTGTCTCATAGGGTATATTTATAGGAGCAGAGTCCAGCAAAAGTGAAGTTTCCCTGCTCTGCCCTTTTGGCCCCCACTTGGGCCACCATGCTGGATCTGGCCTCTGTCTCAGAGTCTCAGATGCAAGAGTTCCCAGAGAGGTGGTCCAGAGAGGAAATGGCTTCAAAAAAGGACTGAGAAGTTTGACCTGGGGAAGAGATGGCTTTGGGGCTACCTCTGACATCTTCATGTCTCCAAAGACTCTCGGGGGCCAGGAGTGCGGGCTTGTCCTGGGGCCATCCAGCTACAGCTGGGATCATTTGTGGAAAGTACAGAAGGCCAACTTTACTCCAAAAATAAATGTCTACAGTTAGTTTTTCTCCATAGGCTTCTTGAGGGAGTAGGGAACTTTCTGTTTCCAAAGGTATTCAAGAAGACACTGAACAGGGACCACATTGAGAGAGCTCAGCATTGGGCTGGGGCTTGACCTCCATGGCCTGGGAGAGGTCAGGATGACTGATTTTGGCTCATATATCCTGAGGACACCTCAACCTTAACAGTCTCTGGATATGAGACTTGCCTCAAAGCATGCTTGTAACGACAGTATCTGGGCATGGGGCTCCTGCTATTAGAAGGGTCTGCTAGGTCCTTTCACATTTCCTGTGCAATTGTCACCCCTGCCTGATCCAGGGCTGGAAATGTGTGAAATGAAGAATCCAGAGGTTCCTTCCCGCCCCGCTTTAGCCTCTCCCCCAGAAGCCTTGTGCCTGAACTAGCTTCTTCCCATTTTTATGGGAACAGTAAGGATAAAGGGTCTCGGGAATAAGTCATCAGGGATAATGGACTCAGAATGTTGAGCAATGCTGTGGCTCCTTAAGTGAGCACTTAGGTTGTGTCCATTTTCACCTCATTCATAGTACACATGGGGACACCAAGGTCACAAGGGTGGGAAAGCCAGCCAGCCCACTGGCTGCCCACTAGTTCAGACCTCTGGTAACCCTCAGCTGCTGGGTGGTCTGAGAAGTGGGTGACATGGATGTGAGTGTGCCACGGGCTGGTGTAAGGCAGTTCCTGGTGGGGGAGTAACCCTTGCTTCTTTCTGCTCCTTTAGAATCGCCATGACATGCTCCTGGTAGAGCCTCTGAACCGACTCCTGCAGGACAAGTGGGACAGATTCGTCAAGCGCATTTTCTACTTCAACTTCTTTGTCTACTGCTTGTATATGATCGTCTTCACCACAGCTGCCTACTATAGGCCTGTGGATGGCTTGGTGCGGCCTAACTGTGGGCCTTGGTGGTGGGAACGGGGTGGGGATGTGGACATTCCTATAAGACCCTCATGTTCTGGGCCAGAACCTGCCCTGGACTCCTTCCTGGCTCACTGGAGTGGTGGAAGGATCATCCACAGGTCGTTATTTCCTTGGGCTCAGTCTTCCCTGTCCCAGGCCATCCTGGGCACCCACTCCTTTCCTATCTAGGCACCTCTCCTTTAGCCTTGTGGTCCTGGGAGGCTGAGCATGTAACCACTAAGGTCCCTGATTGTCTGGGAGGGGGATACTGAGAAAGAATGCAGGTCAGGAAGCAGCTGACCCCTGGACTGGGTCCAGGGTCCTGGGATGGCAGAAGGCCTCACACCCTTGCTACCCTGCTTGTCTGCCCTGTTTTATGCATTCTGTGGCTCCTAATTTGTTTCCTAGATCAGGAAAGAAGTGCAGTTGTGTTACTTCTTCTGGTCAGCCCTGGGCCATCCATCAAGTTAGCTTAAAACCAGATATATATTTTTTTTACTTCTATCAAGAGCCATGAACTTCATTAGGAGTTTTTGAATTGAAACTCGGTCTCATTTAATACCCAGAACACTTAATTTGCTGCTTTTATTTCTGGGACATCTTGCTTTTTTTTTTTTTTAAAGAGAGAGAGAGAATTTTTAATATTTATTTTTTAGTTTTCGGCGGACACAACATCTTTGTTTGTATGTGGTGCTGAGGATCGAACCTGGGCCGCACGCATGCCAGGCGAGCGTGCTACCGCTTGAGCCACATCCCCAGCCCCCTGGGACATCTTGCTTTTAAATTTAGTTTTAAAATTCAGTTTCATAGTTAGGTGAAGCCTGATTTCTATCCACCTATTAAGAACAATTAATGACTTCATTTTAAAAGAAAGGAGAAATGTACTAATAAGACAAGTTAGTGAACTAATAATGCTTATCAAACATCCACTCCAGAAAATGGTGGAAACTGCACACTTAGGTGTGTGGGGGATGGTTTCTCTCTCCTCATCCTTGGAAAACTCTGACACTCTTGGGTGACCAGGTGTGCACCATGGGCAGTGAAGGCAGCAGGATTCATATGGCATTGGGTCTGTGAGATGTCTCCTCATGTCCCATCACACAACTCCCAGCCAAGCAGAGCTCCGAGCAGGGACATTGCCTGGGAGACAGTAGAGCATGGTACACATGCTTCGCTTAGCACCTGGGCTCTGCCACTGTGGAGAAATCAGGTCCCACAGGGAGGCCTCCTTGCAGGTGTCCCCATAATAATAATGCATTATCTTTATGTCTCTCCTTTTGGAGGCTGTGCCTCCCAGGCAGGGGCTGGGTCTTAATTACAGGGCTTTGCACCTGGTAAATGTTTGTTGAGTAAATGAGTGAATGGAGTCACCAACTTCTCTGCACCTCACAGCCTCCCTACAAGCTGAAAAACACAGTTGGAGACTATTTCCGAGTCACTGGAGAGATTCTGTCTGTATCTGGGGGAGTCTACTTTTTTCTCCGAGGGGTAAGCATTCTTTCCCACACTGTGACTTTTCATTATCACTGAGATGAAAAGCCAAAGGAATTGCTCATCACTCACTCACCTTTTTATTTATTGTATTCATAATGGCCTGGCTGGTGTTGCTGAGGGTGTGCATATGAAGCTGTTCCTTCAGGCATTGATGATTGGGTTCAGGGATTGCCTGTCCCCATTGGCCCAGGGCAGTCACTGTTGAGATAGAAGGTAGTGGTTCTCCTTGGCCAGCCTCCCACTGAATGTAATATATATTGGGGATTTAACTCAGGGGCTGAGCCTCATCCTTTTTATTCTGAGACAAGGTCTTGCTAAGTTGTTTTGAGCCTTGCTGAATTGCTGAGGCTATCCTTAGCAATCATCCTTAGCAATCGTCCTACCTCAGTCTCCTTACTCGCTGGGATTATAGACATGTGCCACCACACCCAGCTTGAATATAATATTTAATTACATGTATAGGGTGGAAATGTTTTAAGTAATAGGATCATAACTGATAGTCTAACTCATCAAACAGTCTGTTAAAGCTCAGAACAATGAAGGGGACCTACTTATATATCAGAACTACTTTATTTTAATTGCAAACTCATGCAAACATATTCCTTGGCCATTCTCACATAGCAGCAGGCTTTTCTTTGGATGCAGGTCCATGGTTTGGAATTTTATGTCACCGTGCCTGCAAAAGCCAAACCTATAATGAAAATATCATTTATGTTTTCATAATAGAGAGGAGCTTAGATGCATACCAAGAGATCTGAATGCAGAATTTGAGATTATAATTTTTGACTTCTAGTCTTTTTGGTCTAAGTTATATCTACTTTTAAAATATTCTGCTTTATTGGTGATGCACTGTTATGGAGTGTTTACAAACCACTGGACTTTGTCTTTGCAGAAACAACACTCTCTCTTTTCTCACAGAGTATGTATTATAATAAAGTATAAAGCCACAGCAGCAGGTGCAGCTATTGAGCGTGAGCATGACAAACAGAGGGTTAAGCTGTGGGAGGAGGTGGAAGTGTGTGTGTGTCCTCATGGGGACCTCTCAGCCCCAGTGGCTAATCTGGTGATTAAAGTGCACTGGAGGCAGGATAGAACAGTTTAACTATAATGTTTATTTAAAGAAAAGTAAGAAAAAAAGCAATTAGAAAAAAAATTTCCTAGTCTCTCCTTTAAATCCCAGTGATTGATATCATTTTAGTGATTTTTTTTTCCTTCCTGAATTTACTTCTAGGTATAGTTGTAATTCCACTCTATATTTTTAAAACAAATCACTCCAAGTCACATAATGTCACCCCATTAGCCTGAGCCATGCTGTTCCACTCTTCATAATCTCTGTTTTAACACACTCCAGTGTCTCATTATGATGCATTTAGGAAGCATTCTGGGGGCTCCTCATTGAGTCACATCTAACATTTCCTGGGACCTTGCTCTGTCTTCTCACTTGCAGATTCAATATTTCCTGCAGAGGCGGCCATCTATGAAGACCTTATTTGTGGATAGCTACAGTGAGATGCTTTTGTAAGTGACACTTTGACTCTTATACCTCTTTTGTCCCTGAGGTGACAGAAGTCCATTCTCACTCATCCTCTTTCTTGCACCTGGCCTGGCATAAAGGTAGGGCCTTGCTAAACATGTTGTAGCAATTATGAAAGGCACTTGGTAAATATTTGTGGGATGAATGAGTACTAAGGGTTTTCCTTCTGTGCCAGATAAGTACCAGTTACTGAGATTGACTGACAGTGTCATATGACAGAGTCTAAGTTAGATGTGCCTGTTCACTTTTCCAACCATTTGTCCTTTCCTCTGCCATTCACTGGGTTAGCACTGGAAGACTGAGATGAAATAGATATGGTTCCTGCCTTCAAGGAATATCACATCTTTTAGGCAGATCTTCTTAACCTGGCTCTATTGACATTTTGGACTAGATAATTCTCAGTTGTGGTGGGGAATGGGCTGTCCTGTGCATTGCAGAACAGTATCACTGGCTTCTGCCCACTAGAAGCCAGTAGCTTCCCCCATCCTCCAGCCTTGACAACCAAAAATGCCTGTGGATATTTCCAAAGGCCCTTCATTTGGTATGGGATGTACATGCCAGAATTGTTCCTATTGAGAGTCACTGCTTTAGGAAGAGATGGACAAACAAAGGCAGCTATAAAACAATGTAGATGTCCCAGGGAACCACTTTCCTTCATAAAATAAGCTAGAATCTCCACACAGCAGCATGCACGGGTGGTGGTGGTGGTGGTGGTGGTGGTGGTGGGGGTGGGTGGGCGCCTTTTGGACAGGGAGGGTCCCATCTCCCGGGATCTCAGCTCCCAGCCTCTCTTCCCATTCCCAAATTGCTCTCATTCCTGGGGCCTCTGACTTCATAGCTGGCAAGAGCAAGGAGGTGGTTTCTAATCCTATGTAAGTTAGCTTGTACTTAGGGGTCATAAACTCTGTTATTTCCCACTAATCTTGAGATACTTATTTTTTAGCCCCAAAGGGCAAATTCAAGGTCTATAGGGTTAGCACAATACTGATTTGCTTAAGAGGAGTAATGTTCTCCTATGTAGGGTTATGACAATAAACTCAAGAACCTATTCCTAGAAAGACCCATTGGGATTATGTTAAAAAAATACATAAATGTATGTGTGTTTACACACATTGTGTGTATATATGTATATATGTGTGTGTGTGTGTGTATGTGTGTGTGTATATATATATACATATATGTGTAATATTTTGTGTATATAATATATATTACATATATATGTATAACATTTTTATTTTATCAAATCTTCTCTTGAATATAGGTAAAAACTAGTACAAAAAGCTTATAATCTAATATAGGAATTTCTTGTTCTAATTTTTGTTCTCTGTAATCCTCCTTCCCTAAGCACGTTCCATTCTTTTGGCTCCTTCTTCTGGCATTTACACAGCTAGTAGATGAGGATGTTACGGAGCTGGGGCCTTCTAAGAAATGGAGGCAGCTCAAGGACCCCTTTTCAAAACCTGATTCTTGCAATCAAGTCAGAAAGATTTCAGACATGTCACTCAGAGTAGCAGGAGTGAGTTTATTGAAGGGGTAGGAGAAGGAAAAAGGAACAGTCTCAAGGCAGAGAGTGGGTTGTCTCAGAGAGGAAAGGGACAATGTTCCTCTTTTGCCCTTCAGTTTTATTGGGGATCCCAGAGAAGTTTCCAGAGAGTCCTGCCCATGTCCACCTTTTGACTTTTGACTGACAGCAGGGTGATATCAGACTTTCAAGTACCCACTGTCATGGCAACTCTAGATCACCTTGGCCCATGCTGACTGGTTCTAATTGGATTCCTAGTGATACATTCTTACAGGTTTTATGGCTAGGAGGAACTATTTTTACCTTCCAGAGTTTCAGGATCTGGTCACAAAGCCTCCTCCTTCGGGGTAACTTGGCTTCCTCTTATCAACATTATTTTGAGCCTGCATTTCTCCTGCAGACTGAGACATAGCCTGTCCACCGAGGCCAGGCAGGGCTGCAGGTACATTGCATCTTGGAAAAGAAAGCATGTGGGGCTCAGCACCATGGGCCCATTTTATAGAATTATTCTCTGAATCTTGTGTCTTCCCACCATTCACACCTGTCAGTGCCACAACAAGGATTTATCATTTTTCTTCCCTTCTGCTTCCTCTTCCATTCTTCCAGTGTGGTTATAGAAGAGTTTTTTGTTTTAATTTTTTGTTTGTTGTAATTAGTGTTTGTATTTTTATGCCTCTGTAAATATTCTTTATGATTGAGCTTTACTATATTTCATAATATTTCTTCTTTTTTCTGCTTCTTCTAAAGTGATCTTCTTTTTCACTTGTTCAGTTTGTGTGTGTGTGTGTGTGTGTGTGTGTGTGTGTGTGTTCTTCCCACACCTCCAAAAGACTCTTGGTACGATTTTCCTCAAAGTCAGTCCCATAAATCACATTATCAGAATCACTTTTCAATATTATGCATATTGGTAGGTATTTTTTTAATGTCTGTTAATTTGGGAATGTCTGCATGGAGGATAAATTCAATGATCTTTTTACATTAATTTACATTATATTAGATATTGCTGCTAGATATATATGGAGTGGTATGTGAAATATAAATTAAGCCTTTCCCAGCCTTCCTGTTTCAGTCACTGACATTCCCCTGGTAAAATTCCTATAAGAAGTATTCCTAATGTCTTAGGAATTATCTGTAACCAAAGGAAATAACATTATATTTGTATTATTCGAAGTTTAAAAGGCAGGAGTTATGAATTGATGAGGGAATGCATATGAATAAACACAGCCTTTCTCATTGTCAAAAATAAATAAATAAATAAAAGGACTGCAGTTGTAGCTTAGTGGTAAATCACCCCTGTGTGATTTTGTACTGGGTTCAATCCCCAGTACAAAAAAGGAAAAAAAAAATAAGAAAGAAAGAAAGAAAAAGAAAAGGTGGTATAATGGTAGAGGACACACAGAGATGGCAGCACTCAATGTACCTGAGTCTCGGGTCACATCATTCCCATTCTCTCATTGTCACCTTAGAGAGAGCCCTTTCATTTCTCTCCTAAATTGTCTCTCTTATTTTCCAAACCCTGTTTCCCTCTTTCATGGTTTATTCCCTTGTTTTAGGAGAGAACATCTTGAACCAAGGAGAGAAGGCATGTGGTGAACAAGAAAGGAGTAAAATTTCTTTTAAATCTTGCATGTCTGCATTATATCACCACAGTTGATCGATAATTTGATTGGTATAAAATTCTTTAAAACTCAAAGATATTTCTCCATTGTTTTCTAGCTTCCAGTATTATAGATGAAACCATTCTCATTCTGGATCCTCTATTAAGATGTTTTTGCTTTTTTTCTTTGTAAATCGATTGCATCTTCTTTTAGTTCCTAGTGTTCTAAAACTTAATGATGTATTTTTAGATGGGTTGATTTTTTTTAATACTTAATGGTGTATTATAAAGGATACTTTTAAGGATACAAATAAGCAGCCAGATGGCGATACACAGGGCAAGGTCTGAAAGGGTCCCATGCACAGGCTGAGCCTGGGAGCTCTCATCTCTTTGGAGTTGGGGTGCACCACCTTCCCATCATATGGATGAACTCTCCTCAGCCCTCTTGCAAGCTTCCACGTGTTCGGCTTCATGGATGCACTCAGAACACTATCTTTTAGTTTTTCTTCCCTTTTTTGGTGGTGGTGGTTGGGGAGACCTCACTATATAGGCGTGATTGCTACTGCTACTAGATTAGATGGGGAAAGCCAGCAAGGGCCTTTTCAAATTCTTCTTGGCCTCTCTCCAGGATATGGCACAGGAGTCCTCTGGAATGACTATCAGAGAAAGGTAGGTTGGAGAATTTCTTTACGACCAGATCTAAGACAGAAAAGCAGGGGAAGATAAGGATTTTTATGACCCACTTTTGGAAGGAGTTAATGAGCCAGGAATCATGGACAAACCCCCCAAATATGTAATACAACACTGGGGTTTCTACAACTCTAAAGCTACAACCTCCTTGCCTCATTCCTCAGTTTCATATAGGCCAACTTCTACCCATGCTTACCTGAAATCGATCTAAATTCACTTGCTACTTAATTGTCAAATCCCCAATTCTAATTTACCTTATTTTTCTATAGCATTTGACAATGGTGCCAACCTCTTCTTCTTCTTTTTTTACTGATTATAAATTTATATGCAACTAATGTTGGCACAGATGGGTTGATTTTGAGTGGGGGAGGGTTGCTGGGGATAGAACCCAGGGCCTTGCGCATGTGAGGCAAGCACTCTACCAACTGAGCTATATCCCCAACCCCAGATGTGTTGATTTTTAATCTAGTATTTTTAGAATTTACTGGGATCTTTCAATCTGGAAATTTATGTCTTCTTGCTTGGGGGTATTATCTTGAATTATTTCTGGGTCTCTCTTCTGGAATTCCTATGATTTATATTTTGAATCTCCTGAACTATCTCTGAATTAGGTTTCTTAAATTTTCTTAATTTCGCATTCTCTTTATATTTGTCTCCACTTCCTGGAAGATCCAAATTAACTTTAATTTCCAATATTTCTAGTGTGTTTATCATTTTTATATCATGTTTTAAATTTCTAAGTGGTCTTTTAAAAATTCTGTTCATTCCTTATTTATAGCACTCTGTTCTTTGATGGATGTGATATCTTCTTTGTTTCTCTGAGGCTATTAAACAAATTGTTTTAGAAAATTTTTTTCTTTTTTTATAGTTTTTCTTTACTCAAAGTTATTTTCCATTTGTTTGCTTGGGTTTTTTTCTCTCTTTTATATTAGAGATTGTCCTCAGAACATCTGGAAATTCTTGACATCTGCTTATAACTAAGAGTGGAGAATTGAAAGGTAGTTGCAGTCTCTTTTTAAAAAAAGTTAAATCTATTTTTTTCTCTTTCCACAATTTTTATTGGTGCATTATAGTTGTACAGAACGATGGGATTTGTTACTACATATTGGTACATGCACACAATGTAACAATATAATTTGGCCCATATCATTCTCCAGCACTTCTCCCCTTCCTCACTGCCTCTTACCCCCTGGTCTCTTACCTCTACTGATCTTTTGATTTTCAAGAGATCCCCACCCCTTCCATGGTTGAAAGTTATTAATGTTGGATGGGAGTATCAATTCTGAGCTTCACAGCCAGCTGATCCAGACAAACCATTTATTGGAGAATAACAAGTCAGTCTATTTAGAAATAGTTTTTCTTCTTGGTTTTGTCAAATTTCACATAGGACATTTTTTTTTTTTAATCTTTTACCTGGAAGGAAGAAGTCTGGCTGCAAGCTTCCCAAGAGCTGAGTGGGGAAAAAAGGGCTTTCTGTTACCTGTATTGTATATAATTCACAATATCCCTGGTTTTGGTAACATATCAATGCTTTCAATGGTGCTAGGTGAACTGGGGTCCAAAGACCCTTTGTTTTATTTTCTTAGGCCTCCAGTCTTATTTTTGGGCCCTCTTTACCCCCTCTGGGGATTTCTAAGCCTTTTGAAACTCCTTTTGAAGGTTAAAAGTGTTGTTCCTCAGCTTTTCTCATGTCTGGCTTTGTATTTGGGTTCTTGGGTCTGCTAAGTCACTTTCCATTTGTCCACGACTCTCTAGCTCCTCATATCCATATGTGGGAAAACCATTTGTCATCAGAGACAATCCTTTACCTATTTCCTCTGGCATCAGTTCTCATTTGGCCCAGGGTTCTGTAAATGCTGAGGAATGTTTTTTCTTCGCAGTTGAACTAGAAGACAGATTCCACTTAATGAGCCTCTTTATGGATGTCAGTTTTCAGCAGACCCACCTCAGCACAGTTGAGACTTTTTGCTGGGTTCTCTCACACACATGGGAGGTGAGGCTGTCCTTGTGGTCTTTTGTGTAAGTGCAATCAGGAGGACTTCGTGGAGAAGGTCATGAGGAACAAGGAGACCTGGGATAAATAAGAAAGAAGGGACCACAGAACAGACATGACAGGATCACCTAGATGTCTTCCACCTTGTCCACTGGACTAAGGACCTGAGGGACATTTTCTCTGGCTCTGTTGCTGAGTCTGAGGGTGTGGCCAGAAACCCTGCTATGGGTTTTCAGGAGAGCATGGCCTGTCCCTCCTCATAGGCTTTAGGCTTTTAGGTTATCAGTTGTCCCATGAGGTTTTTGTTCTTGGGGACTAAGCAGGAAGATTGTTGTGCTAAAGCAGTGTTTCTCAGCTTTTTTCCATTATTGCTTTTGAAGACATTTTTCATAACTAAGTTCCCACCCCCCACATGAAATTTTAACACCATTATTATGTGTCTGTTTATATATGAATGGTCCACAACTTGTAGTGATTCAACTTAAAATTTTTTTGACATTATGATGGTATGCAAATCATATGCATTGAGCAGAAACTGAGCTTTATTTTTATTATTATTATTTTTTTTAGTATGGGGGATTGGACCCAGGGGTGCTTAACCACTGAGTCACATCCCCTGCCCCTTTTTTTTAATTTAGAGAAGGGTCTTGCTGAGTTGCTTAGGGCCTTGCTAAGTTGCTGAGGCTGGCTTTGAACTCGAGATCCTCCTGTCTCAGCCTCCTGAACAGCTGGGATTTTAGGTGTGCATCACCTCATCCAGCTGTGCTTTAAATTTTTAATTTGAATCTTTTCCTGTGCTATCCATATGCCATATGATACTCTGTCATGATGCTGGGCAGTGACAGGGAGCTTCAGCTTCCTGTCAAACCCATAATCACAAAAGGAAACCACCATGACTCTTCAGTGTGCTGTGTTGCTGAGCTATGATGTTCAGTAGGTTAGACATATTCAATGCATTTTCAATTTATGACAAGTTTTTCAGGGTGCAACCCCATCACAAATCAAGGAAAATATGTACTACTTTATACCCGTGCTTTATACATGATGAGACCCTCCACCCCCAATCAATTTTGCCCCTTAGGGGTGGTGATATTGCTCCCCCTGAGAATACATGGACTAAAGGAAGCAGGACAGCCTGCCTTAGCTCCTTCCATGACCTGTGGTCTCAGTCTTCAGGGAGCCTGAGGACTTCTGTTCTTGGGGTGCCAGGCCTCCCAGTTACTTGTAGACAGAGCTTCCTATTCTTCCACCCTCAGCTTTGTGCAGTCCCTGTTCATGCTGGGATCTGTGGTGCTGTACTTCAGCCACCGCAAGGAGTATGTGGCTTCCATGGTGTTCTCCCTGGCAATGGGTTGGACCAACATGCTCTACTACACCCGTGGCTTCCAGCAGATGGGCATCTATGCTGTCATGATCGAGAAGGTGCGTGCCCATAATCAAGTGGTTTCTCCTCAGAACCAATTTACCACATGGGTGAAATACTGTCCCATAGACTCTGTCCAGCCTCCTGGTATCTTCTGAGGAGTTGCTAGTTTTACTCCCAGCTCATCCTTGAAGAATCAAGCAGTTTGGATTGTCCTGGGTGCCGGGGCTTCCCTGAAACTTGACCCCTCTGCATCCTAGGCTCCCCTCTCCTGACTGGAGCAACAGCCATGGGGGGAAGGGCGGATGAGTCTCTTATGACACCTGAGCTAAAGAGGCCTAAGCCTCCTGCAAGTTCCCTGGTTCTGCTCCAGGCCTCCTCCCAGGGCCTGGCCCTTCCCTTGCCTCCTCCCAGGGCCTGGACTTGCCTCTGATAAGTCTGCTGTCTCCCACAGATGATCCTCAGAGACCTGTGTCGGTTCATGTTTGTCTACCTCGTTTTCTTGTTCGGGTTTTCCACAGGTAATGGGCTTGGTGGGGGCTGGTGGAGGGCTCCAGCTCACCTTGATTTCCTGAGGCTTCTGCCACGGGCTGGGTGGGATGGACAGATGTGTGCCTGTGGGTCATAGGGTGGATGGACAAAGAACACACAATGAGCCCCAGAACTTGGAAATGGGATTCATAAGATGGCTTTGGTAGTTTTTGAGGAAGGAAGTGCTGTTTGCCTATAGTGACGTTGCATTTTGGTTCAGTCATTTCTTCCAACTTTTCATTTCATACTTAATGGCAAGTTTTAAGAATAGTACCAATAACTTATCTGTATTCCTCACCCAGATCCCCCAAATTTTACCAAATTTAAAAATCACTCTCTATCTACCTACACACACCCACACACAGACACACACATACACACACACCTACCTCACGCTTCAAAACCCGAGAATAAGTTTCACAAGTACACATTGATTTGTACATTTAACATTTTTCTAGCACATAATGATAAAGTTCTTATTATAACAAAGCAGTATATTAAGACAATTTTCTGATAGTTTAGAAGAAGGAGTACTTTAAAAAAACCACACACACAGGTCTTTCATGGCTGAGCAGCATTCCTGCTGCAAACCCATCCTGGGGTAAGGGCTGTATGTCAGGGCACCTGGGGACTTGGCTTCCATCCAGTTTCCCCCATTCTCTCCATGGCCTGCAGCGGTAGTAACACTGATCGAGGATGGGAAGAATTACTCTGAGCCGGCTGAGTACACATCACATAGGTGGCGGGCTCCTGGCTGCAGGCCACCCGACAGCTACAACAGCCTATACTCCACGTGCCTGGAGCTGTTCAAGTTCACCATCGGCATGGGTGACCTGGAGTTCACGGAGAACTACGACTTCAAGGCTGTCTTCATCATCCTGCTGTTGGCCTATGTGATTCTCACCTACATCCTCCTACTCAACATGCTCATCGCCCTCATGGGGGAGACCGTGAACAAGATTGCACAGGAGAGCAAGAACATCTGGAAACTGCAGGTGTGTCAGTGGGGTGTGCTGCTAGGAGGTGTCTGTGGCTGTCTGCTGGCTGTCACATAGTTGAACACATGAGCTCCTGTGGTATTTGGGATGGGGGTGGAAAGCCCAGCCAGGCCAGGGATGAGCAGTGGCACCCCTTAGCTGATGCCCTTCCCACAGGGTTCTCTGCTGAGCATGGGCTGCACAGCATTGGGTTAGCTTAGCGGGTGTTCATAGATGTTGTTTGGCCATGGACGGGGCAGCCCTGGATGGAAGGAGATGGAGTGCTCAAACCTGTGGGGTGTCCACCACAGAGGAACTTGATCTGGGGCAGACACTGGAGATCAGACTCAGGGTGCAGCTCACATGGGGAAGAGCTCCAAGAGCTCCTGTCTGAGCCCTGTGGTCCACACCTTCTTCCCCAACTACTGCAAAAAAAAAAAAAAAAAAAAAATCACTCTTATTAAGTGGAATTTACCCAATGATAGGTCCTATTCTAAGTGTTTTGCTCACCTGATCTCATTTAATTCTCCCATTCAATGGAGTGGATTCTATTACTATCCCATTTTTGGGTGAAGGTGTTGAGGGACAGAGATGTCAGCCACTTGTGTTCCAGGCCACACAGCTGGTAAGTAGCAGAACAAGGATTCAGACCAGGTGCTCTTGCTTCTGAGGTCCTGCTCTTAACTATCACCCTAGGTTGTCCTTTCATGAGCTCCTCAGGGAAGGGTCTGGGACACTCCATATCCCAGCTCCCTGATATGGAGGCTGAGCTCCCTTCCTGGAGTGTGCACCTGCCATGCTATGGAGACAAACCTAGTGTAGAAGGTCCCTGAGGTCCAGCTTGGAGGCATCAGGGACAGGGAGAGCCTCTGGAGGGGCTGAATCCTGGCATCCAGCATGGGCAGCCAGAGTGGTCCCTGATGAGCCCTCTGCCTCTCTGCACTTTGTGTCTTCCTGCAGAGAGCCATCACCATCCTGGACACGGAGAAGAGCTTCCTAAAGTGCATGAGGAAGGCTTTCCGCTCAGGCAAGCTGCTGCAGGTGGGGTACACACCTGACGGCAAGGATGACTACAGATGGTGCTTCAGGTAACGCCCAGGCAGAAGTGAAAGCCATGGAGCTCCAGGACCAGTCATGGGTGCCAGGGGCCCTCCTGGAGCCAGTTGTGGGTACAGAGGCTGCCTCAGGATCTTTTGGGACCTGTTGTAGGCCAGCTGTAGGTATGAGGGTGACCCCAGAGCTTAGCAGTGGGCATAGGAGATCCACCTCAGATCTCAGCAAAGAGGGATGCAGACATTAAATCTTAGAAAATGTGAAACGTCCAGAAGGGACCACCTAGTGAGGAAGGCCAGGAGCAGGAATCCAATAGTTAAAGTCCTTGGGCCTCATGGTATGGTTAGGGAGGGGGTGCTATCCAAAAAGTAGGCCCTCTCCACCAGCTGTGACTCCATTCAGATCAGTGGGTTTTTGGGATCCGGAAGCTGCACATGGCCCTGAGGCAGCCAGCTCCCTGACCTCTCTCCTCCCCTGCAGGGTGGACGAGGTAAACTGGACCACCTGGAACACCAATGTGGGCATCATCAATGAGGACCCTGGCAACTGTGAGGGTGTAAAGCGCACCCTGAGCTTCTCCCTGAGGTCAGGCAGAGGTAAGGCATGCAGGTCCATGCTGTGTGTGGAGGGGCCCTTTGCTGGTGGCCTGATGTTGGGCAGGTGGGTCCCCTACTCCTTGCAGGCCTTTCTTACCCCCTCAAAGGACCTGGGCTCTGTAACAGCCCTGTCACTGTGCAGAGGCCCAGGGAGGTCCCTCCAAGGAGGCTGTAGGATCTGAACTCAGCCCAGGTGAGTTCTTGATTTATGCTGTGAGAATAATTCCAGAATATGTTAGAAGAAGACACAAGCAAAGATTTATTTAAGGACAGCAAATGTATCCACACACCAAAGGCAGGGGCGGATGCCTTTCAGAGAAGAGCAGAGTAATGATGGGTCCAGGGTTGAGTCCTCTGATGATATATATGATTCTTTTGGGAAAAAATGTACAGATTTTCAGGCAAGCTTCTTTGAAGATCAAATCCCATATGAATCACTTGCTATTTGGGGTTCAGAATGTTTCTTATTGATTGAGAAGTCTAGCCATAAATCAGTTGTGGACATATTGTGTAGGTCTTTGACTCTGGTGACATTTAAATTGATTATGCTTTTTGTTCTGGTTGGTCTGCCATAAACATACACTGTGGTATTTTGTTGATCTAACTAAATCTGGATGTGTGTCTACTAAGGGTCTCTTTTTCTGTCTCCCTGAGAGCCCACCTATCTCAGTCCCAAATGTCAGCCATCCACACACACTCAGCTGTGGGTGCTCTTACATGCCCTGGTATATGCCTGTGCAGCTGAGCACTTGGTGTTCCAGCAATTTGGTTGTGCCAGCCTGGCCCAGGCACTGTCCCCAGTGCCCAGAGGAAGCAGCTCAGGTCACTTTCCACTCCCTGGAATGGTCAGTGGGTCAGGGATGCCCTGGCTCTGCTCCTCATAGCCCATGTGTGCTGTCACAGCTTTGTGAGGCTAGAAGACACAGACAGATACATGGGAACACTTCCTTTACACAGAAGCCTGGGGCAGGTGGCGGGGTTAAGAAAAGGGTACACATGGAGGAAAAAAATAAATAAATAAAGAACCAACAAAAACCCTGGGGAAAATTACGACCAGAAAGCAAAGCCATCTAATAGTTTGATGGTAAGCACTTCACAGTAAGCAACAAATTCAGGGTCTGCGGACATTTATTTAAAAATGAAGTGGACATAGTTTATATAGAACAAAGTTTGAGTTGTATTTATACAGGTGGGCCACTGCACCCAGCTTAAAATACGCACATTTTAAATGTACAGTTTTGTAAGTTTTGACAAACGTACATGCGCACTTAGTCAACCACCACCCTACTCCAGATATAGAGCCTTCCCATCATGTCAGAAAGCACCCTGAAGTCCTTTCAGTTTCAAATTCAAGGACTACCTTCTGGGTAGTCTATTTCACCCTCTCCAACCTAGGGAACTGTCTAATTTCTGTCAGTGTAGATTTGTTTTCTATCAGCTTTTGTTTACCTGAGAATGTCTATTTCATCCTCAGGTTTGTTTCACTGGATATGGAAGTCTGGGTTAACAGGTTTTTATTTTTATTTTTTTATCTCAACACTTTGTTTCTTCACTTGCCTTGCCTTCTGGGAGAAGTCATCATTATTTGATTGTGTTCTCGGGTATGTAGTATGTCCCTCCTGCTCCCTATCCCCCACTGCTTTTAAATTATTTTCTTTATCTTTAGTTTTCAGCAGTTTTACTAAGGTATACGTAAGTATGATTTTCTCTGTTTTTCTTTTTTTCCTGATTAGGGTTTACTGAGATTATTGGATCTGTACATCAATATGTTTAATTAAATCTGAGAAACTACACACATTGCTTGACTCTCCTTATCTTTTCTTTTTGGGACTCCAATGACATGGGTATTAGACCATGTGCTATTGTCCTATAGATCTGAGGCTTTGTTTATTATTACTCATTTTTTCCTCTTTGTTTCTCATATTTAATAATTTATTTTGATCCATGTTCACATTTAATGTCCTTTCCATAGCCATCTCCAAATTGCATTTAATGTCATCTAGTGAATTCCATATTTCAAGTAATGGGCTTTTTGGTTTTAGAATTTCTATTTTTTAAAAATATTTCTCATTTCTCTGCTGAGATTCCCTAGCTATTCCCTCATTAAAACTATATTTCCCTTTAGTTATTTTAACATATTTATAGTAGCTTCTTTAAAAATTCTGTCTGCAAAATCCAATATCTGAGTTATCTTGGGGTAAGTTTCTTTTAACTGCTATTTTTCCTGACTATGGGCTGGCTACATTTTTTCTTCCTCTTCCTTCCCCACCCCCTCCACTCTCCATCCCCCCTGTCTCTTTATACTTTATATTTAAAATTGTACACTGGGTATTGTAGATAATATACTGTGCGAACTCCAGATTCTATTACCTTCATTTAAAGAATATTGAATTTTTATTCAGTTAGTGGTTCAGTTACTAAGGAATCACCTTGAATTTGTGTAGGCTTAATTTTAAATGTTGGTATGGCAGATCTGTGGAAATCCCAAAGTATATTCTTGTGAAAATCCCAAAGTATATTCTAAGCCCATTGAACTCGTAGGACTCAAACTCTGAAATTTGTCTTCACTGAGGATCTTGTTAAAGCTTGGTTTTAGATTTTGTTAGTATGGATCTTGAGTAGGCTCAGTCTAGATCATGGCCATTACTTTTAAATGGAACCTGTCTTGTGTCTTCACTTGATACTCAGAGTATTTAAAGGAAGGTAAGGAGACCTCTCCACTCTGGTTGGGCTCCCCTAGTATTAGGCAATATCTCCCCAGGATTGCTCAACCTTTAATATCTCTGTCTGCCCCCACCTCCTTGTACTGGGAATTGAAGTCAGGGCACTTTACCCGTGAGCTATACCTCCAGTCCTTTTTATTTTGTGTTTTGAATCAGAGCCTTGCAAAGTTGCTGAGGTTGGCCTTAAACTTGTGATCCTCCTGCCTCAGCCTTCCAAATGATTGGGATTAAGGTATGCGCCCAACTTCTGCTTCACTTTCAACCCCATAAGCTGCCACTCTCTAGTAAGGCTCATGAGCAAGCACAGCCCAGATCTCAGCCAAGGACTTTTGGGGAACCAGCCACCTCAAAGCCTTCTGAGCTTCCACCCCATAACTCCTTCTTCCTCTTCTCCTATGCCTGCCTCCTGGAGTCTACCTGATTCAGTTGCCCCAAACTCCTATTTCTTCTTCCTCAGCTCAGGGGTAGTTCCATGTTCTGCTGGGATTGCCGTTCACTGCACTGTAAATGGGGAAATTGTCTCTAAGCAGATAGTCATGGCGATGGTAGTGCTTGCCTGTGAATTTCACTTCTCTCGAGGTTCACAGGTTTTCACTGTCTGTTGTCCGAACTCAAACACCTTTGCAGCATGTATTTGCCCAGTTTTATAGTTGTCTACAGCAGGATGGCTAATCTGGTACAAGATGCTGCATTATAGTTGGAAGTAGAGAACTATTTCAAGAAAAGCTTGTTTTTGGAAAACTACTCAAGTGCTTCATCAGTTTTCCCACAGGTCTCCTATAGTCCTGTGAGGTTCCTATGAGTCTAATTGGAAGGACTTCCTGTGTCACATCCTAACACTTAGGACGATTATCTCTTCTTCAGTTGTTAGCTGCACTAATTTTGCTGGGGAGCTCTTTGAAGATGGTTTTGCATGTGATTTGAGCAGTTTTTAATATCACTCTTATTGATTTCATGAAATCCATATCTTTTAGAAGATGCAGCATTTCACTTTGCAGATGATTTTTATTGTGTTTGCATGACATTGTTGGCTGTTTACAACATTGCACATTCACTGTGATATTAATAAAGACATTGACCCTGTGACAGGGATGCACACATCTGTATTAATTGGAGAAGAGATGGGGGGCGGTTAATTTTCCACTTAAAATTAATTAGGGAATATTCCTTGAGGATTTTGCTTCCTACTTTGTAGCAGGAGAATAGCCAACTATTTCAGATAATAGGATTCTTTCCTCACCAAACAGTGTGTGCAATAGGAAGGGGTGAGGGAATGCAGGAGGGAAGGGCCAGTAGAAAAGTTAGGGAAACATGTGGAGGGTCTTAGCATCAGAAATGTGGTAAGCAACATTGGAAGGCCCATTCATCTTCTGAGGGACCTGGAACTGGGGTTAGGCTGATAGTGCTGAGGCTGGGTGTCCCCACCACCAAGCCATGGTATCCCCATGGCACCTGGCCTGTCTCACAGCACCTGGCCTGTCTTACAATGTACCTCCTGCTTCTATGCCTGGGTTCCCTGAAGAATCCTTCATCAGCAGTTGGTGCTGGGATCAGACTGGGGTTGCAAGCCAGTGTCAGCCTGAGGGTCTGGAAACTTCAATTGGAGTAGTCACAGTGTGACTAGCCTCTGGCAGCCTGATGCCTCTGAGCTGTGGTCAGTGTTGGATACCAGCACAGGGGCCTACATCGTGGCCTGAGGATGATATGTGTGAGTTCAGGCTGGTTTTCCAGAGAGGTGAGATTCTAGGTGGCCAATAAGAGGGCTTTCTTGGCTGTCATTCCTCTGAGGTGATCAGAGGGTAGAAGTGACCATGGGGGTGACAACTGGGTCTTCCTCAGGAGCTCCCTGGGATTTCAGACCATATTTGAGTTCCCCATTTGAGACCCAGTGTTACATGTTTTCCTCAGCATAGTTCCTAATCTTCTAAGCCCTGGTGAGTCCTGGACCCTAAATACCGATCCTTTGGTTGGTGTTCATTACTGTAGAGCTGACCCAGTGTGGAGCCACTCATGCCCCGTGTTGCTCTTTGGGTGCCTCCTCTATCCCCCACCATGGCAGGGAATAAATGGAAGCTGGCAGAGTCTCCCTGGGTGGATTCTTATGTGGTTCTTACTTGTCCAAATGGATGAGGCTCCTTGAGCAGCTGAGGGAAGAGAAAACTGCACTGATCCAGGAACCACAGGAAGCATCAGCATGCCCAGACCTCCTTCTGTTTGGAGATTAGTGAGGCCACAAAGTGAATGTGTGTTTGTCTTGCTGCATGCAAGGTAGCAATGATGTTTTATCCTTTAGTTTCAGGGAGAAACTGGAGGAACTTTGCCCTGGTTCCCCTTTTAAGGGATGCAAGCACTCGAGATAGGCACCATGCGCAGCCGGAGGAAGTTCATCTGAAGCACTTTGCAGGATCCCTTAAGCCAGAGGATGCTGAGGTCTTCAAGGATTCCATGGCTCCAGGGGAGAAGTGAGGGACCCCCACCTGGGGTGCTCTCCATGCTGGGCCTTTTTATGCCCCACTGCCATGGAGGGGCTGTTCAGGGAACACCAGTGCCCTGTCAGCAGTGTGACCCTCTCAGGGCCTGCTCAGGCACATTCCTAGGACTGCACTGGACCTGCTGTGGGAAGTGTGGTTGGGTGTGTGGGGAGAGACATGCATCCACCCACCGCTGTCCCAGATGAATCTTCAAACAGGAAGCCATCTGCCTTTCAACTTCTCACTGATTTCATTAAACAGTGTGAAGGGTAAGTCTGTACTTGGACATAGCTTAGACCCTTGCTGCCTTTGATCTTCATGTTACTGGGAATAAATGGAGTCCATAAAAACACCTTTGATGAGAACAGAACATTTCCTTCGATGTTGAAAGCTGAAGCTCTTACTCTCTGTATTGTGTTAATATCTCACCCGCCCAGAGCAGTCTCATTGGGGGATATTGTTTGATCCCCAGAGAAGGTGGGGAATGCTTCTCCCATTCCTAACTCCAGCAGAATGTCCCAAGAGTGTCTTTATTTTTTAGGGTGAAATATCAAAGTTCCCCAAATATTAGCTCTATTGTTGTTCAGATAAAAGCCCAGAACCATGTTCCAAGGGACACATGGAGGGAAGTTTCCAATGATCACAGTCCTGCACCCCTGCAATGCTAAATGCTTCCACCCCATCCATTTTGTCATCCATCAAATAAATAAATACATATATATATATACACACATACGTGTTATAACAAGTGTGAACTTTGTGCCAGGTGTTGGACTGGCACAGTACACGGCTCTGTGTAGTCTGTTTATGTAATATGCATGTGTGTGTGCGTGTGTGTGTGTGTGTGTGTGTGTACTACCCCATATGGCAGGAGTCTCTGTCTTTCTTTAGTTGTTACCCATGGGCAAGGATGTTACCTCACAAACACTATAGTCAGCAAACTATGGTCCATGGGCCAGATCTGCCCTGCACCTGTTTTTTTTTTTAAATTTTAAATTTGTTTAAAATGTAATTTTAAATTTGTTTTCATTAGTCATACATGACAGCAGAATACATTTATGCACTTTGATATATCATACATAGATGGGATATAATTTCTCATTTTTCTGAGTGCACATGTTGTAGAATCATATTGTAGTCATATATATATATATATATATATATATATATATATATATATAGCAATAAGTCTGTTTCATTCTATTATCTTTCCTATTCCCAAAACCTCCCCCTCCCCTCCCTTCATTTCCCTCTACCTAAACTAAGGTAACTTTATTTTTCTCTAGTGCCCCCTGCCTTGTTGTGAATTAGCATCCACATATTAGAGAAAACATTCAGCCTTTGGTTTTTGGGATTGGATTATCTTGCTTAGCATGATATTCTCCAATCCATCCATTTACTGGCAAATGCCATATTTTATTCTTCTTTAGAGCTAAATATTATTCCATTGAATATATAGACCACATTTTCTTTATTCACTCACCTATTGAAGGACACCTAAGTTGCTTCCATAGTTTAGCTATTGCCTGCACCTGTTTTTATGAATAAATTTTCATAAAATTTCATTTATATACTATCTATGACTGCATTTGTCAAAAAATGCAGAATTGAATATTTGCCAGAGACTGAGAGACTCATAAATCCTTTATGAGTTTATTATATGGCCCTTTATAATGAAGTTTACTAACTCTTCCTGATACTGAAAGCTTGGTCTTGTCCCCAGTGCCTATCTAATAATGAGGTTGAGGGTTTGATAAAAAGGAAAAAGAAGTTTCATTGCTTTCCTGGCAAAGGAGAAACACAGGGCACGCCTGTCCCAGAGGCTGTGATTTGAACTGTCAGGGGACATGGGGATTTTATCAAAGGGATACAAGGCTACATTCCAGCTGTGCCCTGTTGGGAATCATAATTCATTTGTAGACTTGAATTTAGTCTGTTTTTTTTCAGACCTGCTGGTGCCAGCGCTGAAATACACATTCCTTCACTCTTGCGGTCTGTGGTGCATGGGTTGTGAGCTGAAGGACAGATAACTTGGCCTAGGAGTGGAGGAAACTTCATCTTTCTTCCTCCATGATTAAGGAGGAGGAAATGGAGAAGAGGAAGGGAAAAAAATCAGTTTTAAAATAAGTTGCAGTGGCAGAGCAACAGGCTTATATTTGAAGCAGAAAGTGTTCCCCTATTATCTTCCTTTATGGGATAGAACTTAAACAAATGATCCAGGAGCGAGATCTATCCTAGATGTGTGTGTGTTGTGTGAATATCTGTGGATTGTGGAATGAGCTGCTTAGATATGAAATTGGTGGACATTGATTGGTTCAGGAAAGGATGTATGGCTTTAGCTAGGGCTGGGTTTGGACACTCCATGAGAGATGAATCTGGAGGAAATTCTGAGGCTCTTCCTCCATGATCTCCAGCGTCACCTCTGCTCTACACATGGTGCCCCACAGAGGAGTCTGAGGGCTGCCCATTGAGGTGCTGTGGGTGAAGTGAGGTGTGTGTGGAGGAGGAATAGAGACTGATGGCATGTATGGAGCACAGAGGAAAGTGCTTGGTGTGTGTTACCCTTTAAGCCTCATAACAGCTCACGAAGAAGCTATTATTAGCTCCATTTTATAGATAAGAAAATCAAGGCACCAACAATTAGTAAGGTTACATAGCCAGTAAACAGCATTGCCTGGGTCTGAACCCAGGCAACCTGACTCCAGAGCTCTGTCTAAACTGCTGTGTCAGCCCCCCCTGGGGCATGCTGACTGATGCCCGGGTCAGAAGGGAGAGCAAGGGCCCCGGATGTCTTTACCTGTAGGCCTGTCTCAAAAAATGTGTAGATGTCAGATGTCTACAAATTGCTGCAAATTGGACTTACTCACACTGGAAGGAATCCTGTATTGCATTCCTTTGCAAAACGAATGATTAAAATGTTTTGTATAAATCTAGGGTTATTTAAATAAGGATGTACTTGCATCTGGCCCATTCTTTTTTTCTTTTTAGATGAATCAACCATCTTTAGAGCAGTTTTAGGTTCATAGCAAAATTGAGCAGAAGAGCAGATTTCCCAGGTACTCCCATCCCTCCCCCTAGCCTGCCCTATAATTGACATCCTGCATTAGAACTGATGAGCCTACACGGATGCATCATTATTATCCAAAGCCCATTAGGCTTTTCCTTGGTGGTGTACATTCTCTGGGTTTTGGCAAACATATAAGTATAAATATTCACCATTACAGCATCACACAGAATAGTTTTACTGCCCTAAAAATCCTCTGTGCTCCTTTAATTCATCCTTCCTTCCCCTAGCCTCTGGAAACCACTAATCTTTTTACTGTCTCTATAGTTTTACCTTCCTCAGAATGTCATGTACTTGGAATTACACACTATATAGCCTTTTGGGATTGTCATCTTTCACTAGTATTATGCACTGTGGTTTCCTTTGTATCTTGATAGCTCATTTCTTTTTGGCACAGAATGTTATTCCATTATCTGGATGTATCACAGTGTATTTTTCCACTCATCTCCTTAAAGACTATTTCCAAGGGTTGGCAATTACAAATAAAGCTGCATAAACATTCACATCCAGGTTTTTGTGTGAACATAAATTTTCAGCTGCTTTGAGCAAATATGGAAAAGCACCATGGCTGGGTCATATGGTAAGAGCGTGTTCAGTTTTGTAAGAAACCACCAAATTGTCTTACAAGGAGGCTTGACCATTATACATTCCCATCAGCAATAAATGGGAATTCTCTTTCCATATCCTCGCCAGCATTCAATGTCATCATTTTTTATTTTGGCCTTTCTAATAAGTGTGAAATAAACAGTCTTTTTCTTTTTTCTCTCTCTCTTTAATGTTTTCTTTTAATCTAACAGGAGTAGCCAATGTGTTGTATGTATTTACATTTTAGTATATTATATTTTTGCTCAGGTCATGTTCTTTTTCAATTTTCTGGGCTTTTTCTTTGCTAATACTCTCATACAGCAAAATGGCAAAAAGAATGAAATAAAACAAAAAAAATCTTTGTTTTACACAATGTTATTATTGATTTATATATCTGCATTATTTAAATATTTTATTTATTTATTTTTCATTTATGCTAGGGATTGAACCAGGGCTTCAGGCATGCTAAGTATGTGTTCTACCTCTGAGCTACACTCCCCAGCCCGGATTCATTTATTTTTAATTGGCAAGTGTACATTGTATATATTTATGTTGCTATATGATCTTTCGATATATCTATACATGGTAGAATGGCTAAATTAAACTATTTGTTGTATCGTCTCATGTGCTTACCATTTTTTGTGGTGCCAACATTAAAATCTACTCTCAGCAGTTTTCAAGTTTATTGCTCTCTATCTTTGCCTTCAAGTCCCTCCCTCCAGCACCTGGAAGCAGATGAGCCACACCCAGAATCCTGAACAGGGCTGGGGCACAGCTCTCCTAGCCCAGGAACAGCCATGTCAGGCTATCATGCAGATGTAGAAGTATCCTCTTGTGATCATGGTCAGGATCAGTCTGTTCAGAGCCGAGAAGGGCAATGGACTCTGCCTAGCTTCCCCTCCTTCCTCACAGCACCAAGTGAGGCATTTCCTGACACATCATTATTACCCAAAGCCCATTAGGCTTTTCCTTGGTGGTGTACATTCTCTGGGTTTTGGCAAATATATAAGTATTTTGGCAGATATATAAGTATGTTTCCTCTCCCTGCCTATACCTAACCCAGAGGACCTCCTCTCTCTCTATCCCTGGGGAGGTGGAACCTGTGGACTTGTCACTTGGGCCTGATTTCTGTGGGGCCTTGGGAGGTGTGGGGAGGGGGGAGGAACAGATCTTGGTGTGTCCTCCCTGGGCATTTTAGCAGGCAGGAGGATGGCTTCTACAGATAGACCCTGCTGACTAGGGCTTCCACTCTGCCCTCAGCCTGGCAGGATGGGGACTCAATTGCGGGTATCTTGGCAGAATCTAGGAGCTGCCTGATGTTCAGACCTCTGAGGGTGGGTCAGGGCAGGAATATTCAGAGGCTGCCCTTCTGCTCTCCCTGCCAGCAACCCACCCCAGGCTGGGCCCCATCTCCCCTGATGTTCTCCTTCATACATATGGCCAATCTGAAAGACCCCTTCCTGAATCTGTGGCCTCTCTGGGCTCTGGATGTTCTATCCACTATAAGAGGAGATTCTGGGTCGCTGAGGAAAGGTGAGCACAGCATCACTCTTGGCAATTACAAGGGACGAGGATCTGGGTAGTGGAGGGCTCCTAGGCATTGGGGCCCCTGGGAATGAGCCCAGTGGTCAGGCGTGTAGCCGTCAAGGGTAGGCAGGCAATGCTCTCAATGTTCTATGGGAGCTGAAGGCATGGTATATAGAGGTGGAACTTCAGGCTCTACACTCCTGTGACTGTGCTGTGCAGACAGACCCCAAACACAGGACAGAAGTAGCAGTGGGGCAAGCATCAGTTAGATTGACAGGCAGAGGCACTGCATTTTGTTTAAGGTGCTGGATCAGCTACCTGCCTGGCAACAGAGGTGACAGACAGCATCTATACCAGGCCATTGGCCATGTGCCCTGTGAATCTATGCCAGCGTAGCCCCGTGTGACTAAGGAGTCAGGGCTGACCCCGTGGCCTGGGGCCACTTGGCAGGCTGCACCTCACTCTGTAGCCCCGTGTCTGTCACCTACTGAGTACACATGTTGCCCCAGGCTTGTCCCTGTGCCTGGAACATGCAAGGGCCTCTGGCCTCTGAGCCTCTGCTGATGCAGCTTTTGACTTGTAGATGCCTCCCTCTTTCCAAGCCCAGCCCCAGTGTTCCCTCTGTCTGAAACCTATGCCCCACCTCCCCATTAGAGGACTTCCTCCCCCTTTGTTGGTCCTTATGGCCTGTCTGGCACATTATGGTTTCTGCTCCAGCCAGTCTCCCATGGCCCACAAGTTCCTTGAGGATGGAGACTGCCTCCTCCCATTCTGAATCCCTCCTGGTTCCCGGATTTCCTGCCAGGGTCTCCCATGTGGACTCTCATGACCTGGGATTAACTGGGACTAAGTGTGGACTACATATTTGGGGTGCGACTGGATTTTTCATGGAGCAGTGCCTCTTTCTCTGTTAGCTGGCCTGGATCCTGCAGAGGGGGCTTGCCTTATTCCTTGCTGGGCACAGTGCATGCCTTTGGGTGGGGATCTTTTTAAACCAGCTCCCTCCTGGTCCCTGAGAATAAGCACTAACACAAGGAGAATGTCAACACTGAGGTTTGGCAAAAGCCTCATCTGCAGGATCCTGAGACAGAAGCAAGCTAGGAGGGGTGAGAGGCTGAGTCAGCAGAGGGTCCATGAGTAACAAACGGGGTGGCGGGGACTATGCTTCACCCAAGGTTGGGCTATGATGGTGGAGTTTCAGCATAGTAAGAGATTTCAAATCACAAGCAGGAACTTCAGGATCCCCTTGTCTTAAACTGCAAAAGCAGTCCCTCTTCACCCACAGTGGCAAGACCGCTCTGCCCTGTAGTGGCCGCAGGTCCTGCTCTCATGGCCTGAAAGCATGACCCTGCCTCCAGCCACCTCCCCAGGCCTGGCAGGTTGTGGTGATGAGGGATTAAGGGGTTTGTCTCCTGAGAGCAGTTGGGAAAGTCCCTGCACCATCACCATCAGCAGATTCTGTCACTCTGTCCCTGTCACGTCTTGCCCACGTCTTGCCTGCAGGAGCAGCTGTGTAAGCCCTGACTCAAGCTGTTCTCCACCCCCTTCCCAGCAGAGGCCTGGGCCAGGAGGGAGGGCACAGAATCTTCCTGTCACGTTCAGGCCTCAGAGAAAGGTGGCCCAAATAGTTGCTGGGAGAATAAACTGTCATGACAATAGCTGTCACAGTTTGCTCTTTCTGCACTCTGGGCCTTGTTCTACTCCTTTCTATTTGCTCTCTCATTTAAGCCCCACAGTAACCTTGCAAGGTAGGTTAGGTACATTTCCCAGATGAAAAAATTGAAGCTTGGGAGAAATGACTTTCCCAAGATCATATGGCCAGGAAGGGGTGAGGCTGTCTGACTGAAGATTCATGATGAATGAGTGGAAATGATTGAATGGGGACTTCCTCTGTCTCTGAGGAACCTGATCCCCTGGGACTGCTTTGAAGGACAGATGCAAGTCTTGGGGCTGGGCACCCTGGGGTCAACCACATCAGTCCTGAGCCTCCCCTGCAGGGGTCAGGGTAGAACACTTGAAGGTTATTATGCCCCACCACCTCGGTGATCTCTTTGACACCACATCCTCATCCTTGGGAAGAAAGTTCTCTATTATGATTCCCACTCAATTTTGATGGGACCTACCTGCCAAGCATCAGATTCAAGGCAGGAAGGTTGGGACCAGAACATCAGTCTTGTGCCAAAGAAGGTGCCTCCCCTGCTTTTTCCCCTGTGGGTGAGGCTGCTGTGTGGGCGTGGGGTGATTCACGTGGAGCACGTGGGTGGTGGGCGTGGCCTGCCTGGCGCCAAGGGCAGGTAACCCAGCCAGTTCTGCTTCTGACGCCTCATTCCAGCCATCAGCAGTCCCTGTGCCTGCCATGAAAGCCTCTCGCTGCCTTGGCCGCAGTCCCAGCGGGGGGCCTTGGGCCCCCGACATGCGGTGATCTCAGGGCAAGAGCTGCCACCACCACCCAGGACCTCGCCAGGTAAGTCCTCACCATCCAGGGCAGCTGGTATCCTCCAAGGCACATGGGGGGGCCTAGGGTGTGGGCCTAGGGGTTGCCTGAGCCTTGTCTGCTCATTTTCAACACCTTGGGGAAGTCAGGAAGGAGCCTGGGCTCCAGGAGGGGAAACCCAGAAGCGAGCTCATAGCTGCTGTGCCATGTGAGAAGGTAGGTTCCAAAGGACCCAGGAACCCTGAATTTGGGAACCCTGAGGAGGGATATGATTTTGCAGCTGTCCAAGGCCAGAGGCGAAGCTTCTGTTTCCCTTGGTGGGCTCTGGGATTGCAGTTCTCGGGGGCAGAAGTGTGACAGGAGTTGAGGAGGGGATGAAGTGGCTCAGTGCTGAGGAGGGACAGGGCCCAGGTACCTCACAGGTACCAGCAGCCCTGGGGTCTCCCTGTGGTTGCCAGGCCATGTCATTTCAATCACTGTCAGGGCTTTGGGGGTGTGATATTCCATTTCTTAGGTGATGAAGCTGAATCCCAGACAGAGGGATGGCCAGGGCAGCAAGAGAGGCCAGCAGGTGAGCTTACAGGGTTTATGGGGTGATTCAGCAAGCTAATTATAGCTGCTGTAGCCCAGTTCAGATTGTCCTGGCCCTGTCCTGTCCTGGCTGCCCACACTCATAGGGAGAGAGGATGGAGTAATCCACGCCATGGGTTAGGGTTAAAGGATCCTTGGGGATCATTCAGCCCATTTCTCAGGAGGGAAGTCAGAGGCCCCTGGAGGGGTAAGAAACATGCTCTATCCTTCTTCTCTCGTGGCCCAGTCCAGCCTTTTAGTCCCATCTGTCCATGGGTCTTTGGGGGCTGGGACAGGCAGTCAGGTCACTGTCTTTATCAGGCTGTGATTGGATATAGGAGGGACTTGGGTGTTCCTGAGGCTCTCTCCATGGGCTGCCCACCTGGCTGGCCTTAAGGCCCCTCCTGAAACCTCCCTGCTTCAAAGTTCCTGCATTCCAGGGCCAAAGCCCTCCCCAGGATGACTTCCCCTACCCTGAACCTGCTTACTGTTAGTGCAGGCAGCGGGACTATCCCATTTTCAAAGCCCCTCCAGCCTGATGACAACCTGCTCTGGACACTCCCTCTAGGACGCTTTCCTACCTGGGGCAGGACCCCGGTGGTTCTGGCTCTATCCCACCAGCTGGCTTCATCTTACAGAAATCCACCCCTCCCTTCTCCTCTCTGTATCCTAGTAGGTCCCACGAAGTGGCTCAAGCCAAGACTGGCCTCTTAACTGCAGAGTTGCCTCCTGTCCACACCGTCCTCTCCCCATCCATCTTACCCTATGTGGGCAGATGTCCCTTCTCCATCCTCATCCCCCCCCTACCCCAGCAGCCTCCTCCTGGTCCCCAAGTTACTGATCTCTACCATCTCCATGCCCCTGTAGCCCCACAGCCCTCCATTACTCCCTGCTGCCCTGGGATCATCCACGGTGCCCAAGTGGTGCCAGAGGTCCTCACGATTGGGTCCCACTGCTCCCGAGCCCCTGCCCCAGACTCCCCAGGTTCTCCAGCCTCACCAGCTCCTTGCCACTCTCTGGACTGTCCCAATCCCTAGTCTTTGCCCAGGCTGTGCTGGCTGCTGGGATTGCCCTGCTTCCACATAGCAGCCTTTGGGTTCCCTTCAAGACGCCTTCCCTCGTCTCTTTGGAATATGTCTCAGTCCCTCCTCCCAGCATCTCCGCACCCCTTGGAGCTCATCAAAGTGCCCGACCTATCCTGAGCATTGGTAAAGTAGGTCTGGACTGAGGAAGGGTCAGACTCTGGGGAAGGGATTCAATTGCTCCCTCCATGCAAGAGTGTCTGTGGGGGGTCCAGCAGACAGACAGCTGTCATGGCGGGGTGACAGAGATGATCAGTGTGTTAGCTACAGAGACCAGCTGGGTGATGAGAAATCCAAAATACCAGAGGAATCCAAGGCTGTGTTACTAGGAACATAGGGTCTAGAGAAGCGGAGGTGACAATCTGACTCTGTCAAGGTCAAATGTCTTAAGCGTAGATCTGAGCACAAATCCTAAGGGGAGCATAAGTCCATCTGGAGTCTGGTGGGGCTAGATATGGTGGTTAGAGGAGAGGCTATAGGCCACGGTGGTCTCTACCTGGATGCCTTGCTGGGCTCTCTTAAGGCCACATAAGCAGGGAACAGGAGAAACTGTAGACAGTCTCCCTGTCCCAAGAAAGATTGGCAGCCTGGGAAAATGGGGAGTGAGCTCCCTGTCCTAGGGGGACAGGGAGTGTGAACCGGAGCTGGATGGTGCCATATGGTGGTGGGAAGCCCCTCGAAACTCCTCCATGCCCCCTCAACCTGAGCATCTGCCTTGTGATTGCATTCCAGCCATGCATGCCCACCCCAAGGAGATGGTGCCCCTAGTGGGCAGGAGGACCACTGGCCCCACTGGAAACCCTGTTGTCCTGACAGAGAAGAGACCGGCAGAAGTCACCCCCACCAAGAAGAGGTAGGACTGGCAGACTTGGACCTGGCTTCTGTGCAAGTGGAGCACAGAAAGCACTACCCTAAGAATCCCTTGCTTCCTGTGACCTAAGAGCATCAGCATCATATGGGGTGGTCTGGTGTTTAAATAGGTATAACTAGGGGGAACAGCACTGCATACTTTGCTGGAGATATCTGTGTGACTGTATGACTCCTGGAGGAGTCAGGGGACACTAAGGAAGGCTCCTGGAGGAGGAGAGGGACTGTTGGAGCCATCTTTGAGACAAGGATGGAAAAGGTGGGTGGGAATTCCAGGTGGTATGGACCCTCAACTAAATACATTTTTCACATACACCAATGACTTTCATTTTGTGTATGCCTGACCAGGTTAATCAAGCTCTCTAACCACATCCGTGTAAAGGAAATTTTGTAAACAAAGAAAAACAAAACAAAACAAAACCCAGTTCCATGTATGAAAACCAGCTACCAAAGGTGGAAGGTACTATGAGACCATAGACAGATTCTGGATAGCCTGTATAATTTATTGGGGACTTGCAGACAGAGATGTGTCATGGGAGGCATAAGACAGGAGGATCCTGACACTCCAAGGCTGGAGGAAGGGGTTAAAGCTGGTCTAGACAAAGGTGGCCGTGAATGTACCTGGATTTCTCAATATTAACATGTCCCATGACAGTTCGGTGCCGGTCCTGGTGTTAATGGCTAGCACAACACTTTGGACTCTCTACCTTAAGGACTTTATTTGTCCCGTAAAGTTTGTGATACGTGCCAGGGTCATATAGCAGGCAAAAGGGAGATTGTGACCAAGACGGCTGTAGTCAGGCTGGATCCCTGCATGGGGACCCTGGCAATGGCACCAACTCAGAGGATGATAGTTAATTGGGATTATGGCAACCAAGTGCTCAGCACAGTGCCTGGTGTGAGGCCAGTGCTCAGCATGTGTCCACAGTCAACAACTTGTTACCCTCATCATCGTCACTGTCATTGTTACTCTGTGAGGCTCCTGGGAGCTGGGCTGGTTCATTCCACTTCCCAGCTGGGGAGACTGAAGAGGGCAGGGGCTTCTCTAGGCTCACACCTTCCTGCTTCTGAGCTGCCTCCAAGGCAGGTTCTCCATCCCTCAGCGGATTGGTGCTTCTTGGATGGGCCAATCTAGAGCAGAAGGCCACCTCAGCTGTGCCTCCCTTGGACCTAGGATGGCCATTTGCTTTTCCTCCTCTGTTCTCTTCCCAGGTCTCCTCTTGGGCCTAAGGCAAGCTTGGTGCTTTCCTTCTGTTTTTTTTTTTTTTTTTTTTCAAAGACATAATCATTGAGGTATTCTGTGTATCAGGCCCAAGGTTAGACCCTGGACAGGGAAACAGGGACACTGGGATGGGGACCAATAAGAAGTTTGGTGTAGCTGAAATGCTGAGTGGGGAGAGGAATTTTGGGGGCAGTGAATCTCACTGGGGCTGGTCTTGGGGGGTCAGTTAAGAAACTTGGACAATCCTGAGGGGAGTGGGGAACCCTCAGGAGGGTTCAGAAGTGAGGGACTTCCCATGGGACAGTATGGTGAGATTTGTATTTTGGAAAGATTACGTTGGGTGACCCACGTGGATGATGGATTGGAGGGGAGGCAGAGCCAGGGAGGTCACGAGGAGGTTGTTGGGAAGGCCAGGTGAGGTCTGAGCCTGGGTTGTTAGGGATGGAGAGGAAAGGACAGATCAGAGAGGTATTAGTGTCATGGGATCTGCTAGGAGAGGGAAGGGAGAAAGAACCGGAGTCACCTCCTTCTGGTAGGTTGACTTGGAGAGATGGTGAGGCCATCCCTGACTTGGATAATGTGTTACACCAGCTACCAAAGGTGTAATACATTATTCAAGGTCACAAGGAATGGTCCAAGTTCAGGTGTGGAATTCTGGGTGAGAGGCGTCTGAAAGGTATATAGATGGCGACTCCATCCTGGAGCTCAGCAGAGGAAACTGGGTGGAGATGGAGATGAGACAAGTATCTCAGGAGCAAGAGGGGCAGCCTGGGTCTGGATGTGCCCGTCCAGGAAAGAGCAGAAAGATCTGTGAGCTACGTTGGCAAGGACCACCTTCCCCTCTCATTTTCCCAGGGGAGGTTCAAATCTTGAGGAAGGATTGAGGACAGGCTTTTGGAAAAATCCCAGGGTCTCCCCGCCACAGGATCAGTCTACCTTTTCTGAGCCCCTCGCCGTTCATGGACTGCTCTAGGTGTCACTCTTACTGGTTGACTGCTTGGCCCAGTCGAGGGTATGAGGTGTGATCTTTGTCTCCTGAACTGGTGGCCCAGAGATGCTCCAAGGGCTCTTGTGTGAAGGTCTGGACATCTCCTGCAGAACTGAGTATAAGACTTAGGGTTGTAGACAGGAAAAGAAAAAAATATATGCAAAGAAAGAGGGCGACCCTGAACAGGAGGGAACCGTGTACTAATGACAGAATTGAAGGAACCAGGAAGTCTATAGCCCGGAGAGATTTTTTGGACCTGGGGGCTTTGCCTGAGCATCATGCTGTTCCCTGTGAGCAAGGTGGTACCCAGGATCAGAGATGCAGGCCATAGGGGGCTGTGGGAAAGCTGGGCATTTCTTGGGACAATGCAGGTGGCCAGACAAGCTCCTTTCCAGCCCTGGACTTGCTCGCAGTCCTGGAGTTATTCCTTGGGAGGAACAGAAATGCAGGAAGAAATGGTTTAGAGTTGTCTGTGCACCTGAATTAACAATGCCCAGGTGAAGACCTTTGGCCTGAACCAAAGGTAGGAGTAAACAAGGATCATTGGCAGTGGGCAGGAGTCAGGATGTCCTGGGCCAAGACCTGGCCATGTGCCTACGAAGGTGGGAGGGACGTGGGGTGCGGAAGCAAGTAGGCAGGCACGAGGCAGGCCCTCACGCCTAGCAGCTGTCCATCCCAGGAGTTTGGTCCTTGCCCAACAATTGGGTCCTCCCTAGCAGGGTTTTTGTCACTCTCTTCCTCACATCTTGCACTCCAGCCACTGGGGATGTCCTTCCCAAGACTCAGCCCTACCCTTCCTCCCCAGGACACTTTTCTCATGCTGCCCTCTCTGCCTCCAGGGCTTTTTCCTGAGCCAGCAGAGCATCCTATCCCTGTCTTTAGCTGCAAGGAACTTTGCTTCCCTTGAGCTCCCACAGCCCTACCTTCCTCAGAGGCCGAAGCTGACATTGGGATGATATATTAGCTCTGGTTGGGATCTGTGAGGATGCAGTCCCTGGAAGGGTCATTTCCCCTTCCTACCCTCTATGTTTCTTACACGGAGCATGTGAGTAGTTTTTGCGTTAAGTGGATGAGACCATGAAGGAGCAGGAAAGGAAGAAGGAAGAAAGGAAGAAGTCTTTTTGGGAAGAAGTCTTTGTTTTTGAATCAGGTCATAAATTTCCTTCTGATGGGCAGGAGCCAAGAAGGCGAGGGCCAATGTCTCAGCCAGCACTGTCCACTGCTCCACTTATGCTCCATCTCTGGATTAGCGCTGAGCCTTCTAGGCTTATATCGAGGCCAGTTCTGGGCCCCTCCTGCCTGCCCCACCCTGGGCAGTAGCTATATGGGGCAGCCTCCCTCTGTGGCCAACCTCTCCTGCTGGTTGGGTTGAAAGCAGGTCCAGAGGGCTAAACTGAGAGCAGAACAGTGTGGATTATGGTGTGAACTGGGAGCCTGGACACCAGCAAGCAGGTTCTCAGGCCAACTTGGTTTCTACTCTGTGGGGGGAGGGTGGCCCTAATGAGCTGCTTCTCCAGTTATCTCATCTGTAGAGTGGGACCACAATCCCTTCCCTCCTTCCCTTCCTTCCGAACTTGACTAAGTGGGACTGTACTTTGGGAGATTTTTTCGGAGATCTTGTGAGGATGGGAGGGAACCTGTTGGAAGGCATCAGGAAGCAAAGGTTCTTGGGAGCCTCGTGTGCCTGGAGAGAGGCCTGGCAGTGGGAGGCCACCGACCTGGACACAGTTAGCAGATGTGCTGCAGCAGCTGCAGGGTGGGGTGTTGCTGCAACTGAAGTCACCCTCGGCCTGATCCTTATCATCCTAGTTGTCGCCATCTCTGAGTGTGGGATTAGAGTCTCCATGCTCACACACATCTGTATTTGTGTGTGTGTCTGAAGATGAGGCCCAGGGGCTATAGGGCTCAGTGGACTATGGCAGGCCCCGGACCACACACTGGGTCTGAGTCTTGACTCTCTTGTGGCAGTATCTGTCCTTCTCTGGGGTCAGCCAAGCCACAGGGCCTCTTCTGCCAGTTTAGGAGAAAGCTGGCCCAGGCTCTGCCCCTCTCCCCTCACTGCCTGGGCTTTCCTTTTTGACTCATCAAAAAAGTCAAAAGGTGTCTCAGCCCTGCCCCCTGAGCCCTCAAGTCCCCCCTGCTCTAGATCAGCCTTTTCAACCTGTTTTCTGTTGTGATAAAAAACAAAACAAAATAAAACAAAACAAAAAACCCTACCCTTTGCTGAACAAAGGGACCTGGGACAGGAGTGGGGATAAGCTAGTGTGATTCAGGCCTTTTCTCCCTCCCTCAAGAGCCAATAAGGCCTGCATGGATCTTGGAGTCCAGAGGCCTCCTCTTGCAGGGCTCTCACTTCAGACCTGAGTTCTGGGGGCAGCTGGGTGGCCATGGGAAAGCTAGCTCTCTGGGTGCCCTGTTCTCATCTTTGAAAAATCCTCTAAACCTGAAGGCAGCTGCAGATCCCCAGGTACTGGGCCACCCCCAGTAGAGACTCTGTGGTTTCTCCACCCAGCATTTCTAGCAATAGGAGTCACCCAGACTCAGTCTCAAATCCAGGCTCTGCCACAGTGCTGCATGTGACCATGTTGAGTTGGGTTACCCCAGAGCCTCCCAGGGGCTCATCTGTGAACTGTGATAGTGCCTGGCCCTAAGGGCAGCTGTGAGGGCTGGATGAGGTCAGGCCACGCAGAGTTGGCTGAAGTGGGGGGGAACCCTCCATGGCAAGGGTGCAGGATGCACAGGTAGACAGGTGGTGCCCCAGCTCTAATGACCTTGCTTGGGTGTCCCCTCAGTGCACACTTCTTCCTGGAAATAGAAGGGTTTGAGCCCAACCCCACTGTTACCAAGACCTCTCCCCCCATCTTCTCCAAACCCATGGACTCCAACATCCGGCAGTGGTGAGTATCAGCCCCTTGTTTAGCCCTCAGCTCCCATGGGTGCCCAGAAACATGCCTTGGGCCAAGTAGCCTGGCTTGGCTGTGGGGAACTACCATTTTTAAACTTGTCCTCTCTCGTTCCTCCTGCCCCATACTTCCAGCATCTCTGGCAACTGTGATGACATGGACTCTCCCCAGTCTCCACAGGATGATGTGACAGAGACCCCATCCAATCCCAACAGTCCAAGGTGAGTCTGGCCCTTCCCCATCTCCCACTGGGCCTACCAAGGGAAGCAGGTGAGATAAAACTTTGGAGGCCTGGGCCATGGTTGTGGCGTGGAGGACATTTAGTGGGGGAAGTGGAATATCAAATTCTATAAATTGTAAAATAATACCTGATCATTATAAAATAGTATACAGAGGATCAATGACTTTAGCACAGGACCACTTATGTAAATTTAAAATACATGCATTGAAAACAGCAATATGCATTTTGCAAAAACACATGCAAACAAGAAGAGACATCAGTGTATCACCAGGACTGTCCATTTGGAGTATGGGGACAAGGATGGATTGGAAAAGTTCAAGTGGAAGGGGAGGTGATAAGATCTATTTGTAGTGCAAAATATGAAAGTGAAATTTTCCTTCCCCTAGTCCTGTATTTCATGGTAATTTGCTGTGAATAGTTAGACACATATTCTTCCTGATTATTCCTAAGTATATCCAGATACATATTTTGATAAATGCGATCACATATGGATTGGAAGGGGAGCTTCATGGGGCAACATGGAGCCCCAAAGCACAAACACAGGGTTTGCAGGTGTTGTGACAGGCCTGTGAGGTGTCCCTGAAGGTCCAGCAATTCTATTGGGGAAGGGGTGATGGTTGCAGGGCAGGGGGTAAGGGGATGTTGTGCACAGTGAATTGAAAACATTTTCTGGCCTCAGCGCAAACCTGGCTAAGGAAGAGCAGAGGTGGAAGAAGAAGCGGCTGAAGAAGCTCATCTTTGCAGCGGTGTCTGAGGGCTGCGTGGAGGAGCTGGTGGAGCTGCTGGCGGAGCTGCAGGAGCTTTGCAAGAGGCGCCGCGGTGGCATGGATGTGCCCGGTCAGTGCCTGGTCCTGGCAGACGCTGCAGGTCTAGGGATGCCACTTGGCTCTTGATTCCTGCCCCATCTCATGTAGGGCTGGGTTTTGAGGAGCCTTAATTCAACTCTGAGGGCAGTGGGGAGCTATGGAAGTGTTTAGGCAGGTGGGCATCATGGCCTGGCTCCTACATGTTGCTGTTCAAACAGTGTTGGGACCCTGAAGGAGGGCTGGGAGATTTCTTCAGGCATGGCATTGTCAGAACTTGGTGACATGGGGATTGAGGAAGAGAGAAGAGTCCAGGGTGGCACCATTTGGACTTGGTGGATGGCAGGGTTCTTGCTGTCTGGGGGACCCAGAGAAAAGCAAGTGGAAGAGAAGATCCCAAATAAGATCTATTTGTAGGCTCCAGGGAGGGAGAAGATGGAGATAGAGATTTCAAGGTATCAGCACAGAGGTGGACAGAGGGAAGCCAGGTGAGACTGCCCCTTGCCAGGGATAAGGTGCAGAGGTCAAAGAGCAAAGGGCTTTCTTTGGCAGGAGAAGGGAGAAGGAGCCCAGAGCTGGAGAAGGAACAGCTGGTAAAGAAGGAAGAGTGCTAGGAAGTTCACGGTCAGGGAGGCCAGGCAGGGGACAGGGTGGGGAGCAGGATCTTGAGGCGAGAGGCTGCAGCTCCCACACCCTCTTCTGGGTTGTGAGGGTCAAGGGCAACCTGTCCCTCCTGCCCACTCCTCCATCTGTGACCCTGCCTGTAGACTTCCTCATGCACAAGCTGACGGCCTCGGACACGGGGAAGACCTGCCTGATGAAGGCCTTGTTAAACATCAACCCCAACACCAAGGAGATCGTGCGGATCCTGCTGGCCTTCGCCGAGGAGAACGACATCCTGGACAGGTTCATCAACGCCGAGTACACTGAGGAGGCCTATGAAGGTATCCTGGCTGCCAGAGGCTGTGCAGATGTTTCCCAGGTCGGGGTGCCAGGCCACAGGGCCACCAGAGACACTGCTACCACCTAGAAGCCTGAGCGCACAGCATGGTGCTGGGCATGCAGCAGGCACTCCCCTTGCCCTTCCTTCTTTCTACAAGTAACTGAGCACTGACTATGCGCCAGGTGTTATTTTTGGCACCTGGGTTAACAAGACAGATTAAGGTCACTGCTTTAAATAAGGTAATTTTAGACAGGAAATCTATGGAAATAAAGGTAATATGACAGAAAGGGGCTGGAGATAGGCCACTTTAGCATGGATGGAGAAAGGGGCTCTTGACTGCATGATGAGAAGGATCCAGAGTGGGGATGAGTGAGGCATGTGGCAATGGACAGGAGCCTGGAGATGAGGCTGGACATCCCAGCAGGGGCCCAGAGAAGCAACTATGTATCATCATCATCATCATTATTAATGGTCCGTTTGAGTCTTGGTGCTGTGTAGATGGTGCATGGAGACAAATTTGGGATAGTATTTCTCTACCCGGGAAAGTCATTGTGAATAATCAATAAGATATGTGCTCGTTTGCGTTTTTAGAGTCAGTAAACAGCCTGTTAAGGTTAGATGCTTGTGGCAAAAATAATTGGTTCCTAATTGGTCATCTTGCTGACATGCCAGTGGGCACTAAGCATCTCACCTTTTTCCAGGTGGAGTCTAGCTCAGGCCCTTCACTGTTCTTATTAAGAAAACCATTTTATTACTTAAACTCTGCAAATTGTCAAAAGAGTTTTTGTCATATATAAGAAAACACCAAGGATGTGACACATAGAAGCTATGGAAAAGGGGAGAGGAAACCCAGGGAAGATTGCTGCTACTGAGGGTTGAACTGCACATCGAGCTGGTAGTAAAAGCAAAGAGAGAAACTGAGTGAGCCATACAATATTCTTAGCCTGGCACTAAGGAGTTGATGCTAGTCCTGTAGACAGATCAGTGCATCAAGTTTGGCTGTCTTGATTCTTCTCCCTTTTCAGTCCCCTTCTGTGCCCTCCTCAGGGATGTAGAGATTTCACTCTTCTGGCAGCGGATTCCCTTGAGGGCAGGGATGGAGTCCTTTCCCCACAGTTGATTTTCTGGTGCTTTTATAGGGTCTCACATTGGAGATATTTAATATAGATTTTTTGATTGGGTGGACAAATTAAAGTTATTAGTATCTCCATCAAGGCCTTGTGTAGTGGTCACAAACCCTACTCCTCTCCTTTCTCTGCGGCCCCTTATCTCTTCCTTCTTTCATGAATTTGTCTCCTGCTGGTGGGCTTCTCTCTCTGCATAGTAGAAGGAGCAATTTTTTCCTGCCGCCCCAGAAACCAACCTTGCCCCACCATTCTGTCCCCTGACGATGTCTTTGAGGTCCTCCCTTCAATGTTTTTAGGCAGTCCCCGCCACGTGGGGCTGCGGGATTCCAGGATCAGTTAGGTTGGTCCCCGGGTCCCAGCGCTGAGCGCCCCTGCCCGACCCCGCCTGTCCGCAGGGCAGACTGCGCTGAACATCGCCATCGAGCGGCGCCAGGGAGACATCACCGCGGTGCTCATCGCGGCGGGCGCCGACGTCAACGCCCATGCCAAGGGGGTCTTCTTCAACCCCAAGTACCAGCACGAAGGCTTCTACTTCGGTGGGTGCCGCTGTCGCCCGGCTTGGGCTGGGGGGTGGCTTCCTAGGGAGGAGGAGGGGATTGGATGAGCCCGAGGGGGAGGGGAAGGGGGAGGAGGGAGGTGGACGAGTGGACAAGTGGGGGGGGGGAGAGGAGGGGGGGATGAGTTGGGGAAGGGGAGGGGCAGGGGCATCCGCTGCTCTGGCTCGGGCCGGTGGTACCTGCCCCCAGAGGCGGTGGTGGCAGGCTGGAGACCCTTTAGCCAGGTAGCAGGTCCCAGGCTACGGAGGACAGAGTCTGATTGGGAGGCTGCTGAGACAGATCCATCTGAGCAGGACCCCTAGGGTGGACCAGAGAAAGAAGGGCCTGGGGAGGCAGGGTGGAGCCCCAAAGCCTGCAAACCCCGGGACATCACTTGGCATTAGAGGGCACATAGGCAGTCACCTGAGCAACCCTTTGTGGGGAACAGAGACTTGGGGGAGAGGGACGGAAAAGAGCCCGGTTTCATAGGAGAGAGATGGTTTTTGAGAAGGGAAGTGACTTTCCCCAGCCTAGTATGGCCTCCATGTAGGTAGGTGTCCTCGCTTCCAACTCTGATCTCTGTCCCCTGTGCTCAAGGCCTCTCAGGGAATCAAAAGTGAGAGAAGCCAGCCACAACCACCTGTAATCCTGGAGGCTGGTGAGGCTGAGGCAGGAAGACCACAACTTCAAAGCCAGCCTCAACAATTTAGTGAGACTCAGTTTCAAAATAATAATAAAAAAAAGGGCTGGAGATGTGGCTCAGTGATTAAGTACTCCCCAGGTTCAATCCTTGGTATGAAAAAAAAAAAAAGCAAGAGGAGGAAAATCTCTGACAAGTTGGTGAATCCAACAGCAATTAGGGTTAATATTTTTTTAAAAAATCACATTCTCCAAAGAATACTGACATTTATTTGGGAATAATAGAGCTTTGCAATGGGGATATGCATGCCATAGTGAACTGTGGGCGTACTTAAAGAGGTTGAGCAGGGCACGATGGTATACCTCTGTAATCCAGCTATGTGGGAGGCTGAGGCAGGAGGATTACAAATTTGACACCATCCTGGGCAATTTAGCAAGACTCCTTCTCAAAATAAAAAAATAAAAAGAGCCAGGAATGTAGTTCAGTGGTAGAGTGCCCTTGGGTTCCATCCTAAATGTCTGTCTGTCTCACACACAAAGAAGTTGAGTCTAGGGGAAGTTTTAATGAGAATTGTGTCAGATATTTTGAAGCAAATAATCCTTGGCCACAGTGGTTGACAATAAGTGTGGTATCAGTCCAAGGTTGAAGAGTTTGGGGCAGATGTTTTTGCACTGGTACTTTTTGTATAAGGTTGTGGCAGCCCCTATTCAAGCTAGTGACTCTGGCAGAGTGTTTTTTTTTTTTTTTTTTTTTTTTTGTACCAGTTCTCAGGGACACTGAACCACTGAGCCACATCCCCAGCCCTATTTTGTATTTTATTTAGAGACAGAATCTCACTGAGTTGCTAAGCACCTCGCCATTTCTGAGGCTGGCTTTGAACTCATGATCCTCCTATCTCAGCCTCTTGAGCCACTGAGTGGCAGAGTCTTTTGTGAATCATGTGAATCATGTGTAAGAGTCCTTCCTTCATAACCTCCCAGCTTTGTTTACTTTTTTTTTTTTTTCGTTAGGTTTGACACAAGTTATTCCATTTTGATTCTGACAATAGTCAACATTTCTTTCACAGATGCTCTGGGTGGAAAAAAAGTTTAAATGTGTAGTTTAGATCTGGTGACCTCACCCACTTAATTGCACAGTTGTGTTATTTCCACACATGCTTAGAGCTGTGAACCACCAACATGATCAAGACAGGCCACCAGCAGCTCTGCCAGATCAAAACATTTCTCTGAGTAATTTTACAGGAAATTGCCAGCCTTGGCCTGAGAACCACTCGCCTGTTTTCTCTTCTGGGTGGCTTTAAAAAAAAAAAAATTTTTAGATGTTGATGGACCTTTATTTGTTTATTTATATGCAGTACTGAGAATCAAACCCAGTGCTTCACACATGCTAGGCAAGTGCTCTACCACTGAGCCACAACCCCAGCCCCTCTTCTGGGTAGCTTTTTTTCTAGATGGTTCTGTGAGTCCTGGAGGACAGGGTCTTGTCTAGTCAATATTGTGTCCCCATTACCCAGCACAGAGCCTGGTTGCAGTTGGTGTTGGGAAACCTTTGTTAGGTATGAAGAGAGGGGACAGGAGGAAGAAGAGGAGGCAGGAGCCTTGGCCTCCAGCCGTGGTGCTGTCCCATGCTTGCTATTTGACCACTTGGGAGTCAGTGGCCTTCTCTTTTCTTAAAAAACATTTATTGAGCACATACTATCTGTGTCAGGATAGGTGCTTGAAATATATCAGTGAGCAAAACAAAGATCCCTGCCTTCATGGGACTTATATTGTAGGTCTGGAGAGAGGCCATCAATAATAAACATTATAAATAAGAATGTTATGCATTATGTTAGAAAATGGAAAGTGCTATTTAAAAAAATACAAAGTAAAGTAGGGGAAGAGGAACCAGAAGTTCTGACTGTGATGAGAGGATTTGATTTTAAATAGGGTAAGGTTAGGGTGACTCACAGAGAGGGCGATACTTGAACAAAGACTTGAAGCAGGTGATAGAGTGAGCAATGCAGAAATCTACATGCCGAGGGAACAGCCCAGGCAAAAGTCCTGAGATAGGAAAATGCCTGGTGTGTTGGAGGGAGAGGAAGTCCATTGTGGCTGGAGGGGAGTGAGGGATAGAGGAGGAGAGGTCAGAAGATGCAGGGCTTTGTGGGCTTTCTTTGGAACTGGGGCTTTCATTCTGGGAAGGTGGGATTCACATGTTAATGGCGGCAGGCAGGTGGGTGGACTGGGGTGGATCTTGCTGCTGTGCTGAGCACAGTGTTAGAGGGCAGTGGGGAAGCAGGGAGGTTGGTTAGAAGGCCACAGCATCAGTAGAGCTTCAGTCTCTGTTCAAGTGGGAGAGGAAGAGACCATCAAGGAACCTCAGGAGTCAAAGCCACTGGGACTGTCAGGCTGTGGACCCCTGGGGCCTGGGCACACTGCTTCTGACCCCTGAGATACCTGAGTCCCAGTGCTCCCCTGGTCCAGGTGAGACGCCCCTGGCCCTGGCGGCATGCACCAACCAGCCCGAGATTGTGCAGCTGCTGATGGAGAATGAGCAGACAGACATCGCCTCGCAGGACTCTCAGGGAAACAACATCCTACATGCACTGGTGACGGTAGCTGAGGACTTCAAGACCCAGAATGACTTTGTTAAGCGCATGTACGACATGATCCTGTTGAGGAGCGGCACCTGGGAGCTGGAGACCACCCGCAACAACGACGGCCTTACGCCACTGCAGCTGGCCGCCAAGATGGGCAAGGCCGAGGTGGGCCAGCGGGCCAGGGCGGCGGGAGGTCGGGGAGGTGCCGCTGCCACTCTGCCAGTGCTGGTGCCCTCCTAAGGATCCTGCAGAACACGGCCTTAGCCCTGGGAAGGTCCCAGCCTTAGATCCAGAGTGCGGCTGTGGCCTGGGACAGGTTATTCTGAGTGACAGCCAGTGAGATGTGGGCACCCCCCTCTGGATTTCAATGCCACAGTCTGTTGTTCTCTCTCTTCTCCTGGGACTTCCTTGCTGGGGCTGAGATGACACAGTGTCTCAAATGCTTTGTGCCTGAGTATTTCTGTGTGGTGCTGGACCCAAGCAGAAGTTGAATATCTGACCCTGAGGGCCTTAGGCCTCTCCTGCGGACAGGTGTTCCAGAACAACTTCTCTGGGCCCAGAACTGGCTTTTTTTCCCAAGGTCAGGACTCAGGTTCTTTCCAGGGCTCAGATCTAGAGACCTAAACCTGCTCCTCAGCCTTTGAGCCTGGGAGGAGATGGCGGCTCTTAGGAGACTTCAGGGCAGGCAATGGCTTTGAGCAATCACAGCTGTGCACACCCCTCCCTAGTCAGCTGCCCTGAGGGCTTTGGGTGGTGTTCCAGTGGCCAGGGCTGGGGACCACAAGAGACCTTTTTATTCTCCTACTGGGGGAGGAGGAGATGGGATTGGCTTCAACAGAGGAGGAATTGTGTCCTTGCCTCCCCCTTCTCCTCACCACCCCTGGGTCACAGCCTTCTGGGGGCCTTGATAGTCACATTGTGGTTTCAGATTTAACCTCCTTCAGGGTCTCATCTCTGCATAACACGGTGGCACATGCTCTCCCTGCCACCCCAGCTCAGGGCAGAGCCTCCCTGTGGAGGCCAGTCTAGGGGAGGCACCTGTACCCCTCCCCACTCCTTTCCTGGATGTTGCCCAGGGCAGCCACTCTTAGGGAGTGGAGGGTACGTGACATAAAGCAGACCCTGCCCTTGGGGATTTTATAGGTTTTTCTGTGTGGTGGGGAAACCCAGTCCTAGGAGCTCTCTATCTGGGCTGAGGAGACCGTCTTATCATGAGAGATGGCAAGGGAATGCTGCTGGGTTGTGCAAGACCCATGCTGTGACACCTCCTACTCCAACAGCACCTCCTATTATGTCTTGGGCTCCTGACCCAGGAAGCCCTAGTCCCCAAACTTGAGTAACCCAGAGCTCAGCTTTCCGGAAGTAGTGAGCTGGATAGTGGGTGGCCCTCCAGTCACCTCTATCTAGTAGTCTCCTGGGTCTACCCTCCCCACACTAGCTTTCGGTAATCGGTGGTGGTTTGGGTGTTTTAAAAATTCCCCCAGACACCTAACATTCAACAGAGTTTGAGGATCACTGACCCCACAGCTGGCCAGAGTGGTGAGCCTCAGTTTGACTGAGGGTGGAATGAGAAACTGGACATCAACTTCTAGCTTCTTCTCAAGTCCAAGCCAATTGGAAATTGTTACCAAAAAATGATCAATTCCATTAGGGTGCAGTGGCACATTCCTGTAATCCCAGCAGCTCAAGAGGCTGAGGCAGGAGGATCATGAGTTCAGAGCAAGCTTCAGCAACTTAGTGAGGCCTTGTCTCAAAATGAAATATAAAAAAGGGCTGAGGGGGCTGGGGTTGTGGCTCAGTGGTAGAGTGCTCACCTAGCACGCATGAGGCCCTGGATTCGATCCTCAGCACCACATAAAAATGAAATAAAGATTAAAAAAAAAAAAAAAAGGCTGAGAATGTTAAGGGCCCCTGGATTCAATCCCTGGTACCAAAAACAAACAAACAAAAGCAACCAAACAAAAAATCAATTCCTGGGTTCTTCACTGAACTGGAGCCCCAGCTGGTGCAAGGATTAGGAGTTGATGGTGCAGCTTTGTGTAGCCTGTGAGGGGCCTTCACATCTTTGGTCCCCAGTGAGATGGGCAGAACTGGAGCTTTGCACCCATTCCACTGATACTGCAGGGGCCCAGGGGTCATGGTGCAGATGCGGGACTCAAACCATCTTGATGGAAGCATCTTTTGGGGCCTGCCCCGCCTCTGGCTGGCCCAGCCCTGTTGGCCCCAAGCCCCATGCTGTGGCTGACAGTTGTTCCCCTTCCTATCCCCAGATCCTGAAGTACATCCTCAGTCGTGAAATCAAGGAGAAGCCACTCCGGAGACTGTCAAGGAAGTTTACTGACTGGGCGTATGGCCCTGTGTCGTCCTCACTGTATGACCTCACCAACGTGGACACCACAACAGACAATTCTGTGCTGGAGATAATCGTTTACAACACCAACATCGATGTGCGTCTCCTGGGCAGTTGGGAGGGGCAGGGAACTAGGGCGGGACCTCAGTCTGCCACTGGGAAGACCCAGGCAGCTAGCTCCATGGTGCCTGGAGTCCCCAGGGCTTTCTCTCAGCAGCAGAATTAGACATGGAAGCAGGTATCAGGGGCTGGGGAGATGCTAGGCTCAACTGTTCCTGGTCAGCCTCAGATTGTGGACCCTAATGGTGAAGGGTCTCTGGGTCCCAGAATCCTGGGCAGTTTGGGGCGTGTGTGTAGTCCATATGGCCTGGCTTGGAATCCTCTCTCCTCCCAAACCTAGTTCCACATGAGGGTCAGTCAGTGCATGGCTTCCTGGAGGAGGTTGGAGCAGGAGATTAGTGAAATTGGAGGTAAATAGAGAGGATCAGCTCTGAGAGGTTTTTAGCTCTTGGGAGGAGTGAGACAGAAGGCTGTTGGTATTTTACCAAGTTTTGCTTCCCAGAGCCTGCCTTGTCTAGGGTATCTCTGGATCCTTGCAGGAGCCTGGTTGGTAGGGCAGGGATTGTCCTCATTTTATAGATGAGGAGATTGAGGCGCAGAGAGGGTCAGGGGCTCCTAAGGACACACAGTGAAGAGGGGGATTGGCAGTAGAACCCCTTTCTAGCCTTCCCTCCCTGCTGTGCAGCAGATGCTCCTGCTGGAAGCCCATTCTCCTGGAGCATTTCCCTGCTGTCTGTGTGCTTTGGGAAGAGCCCAGGTGCCTTTCCACCATTTCCAGCCAAACCAGTCCATTGGGCATAAAGACGGGTCCCTTCAGCCAAGGGCCCCACTGACTCGGAGCTCATGATGGGCCCTTTGAAAGTGGTCCTTCCTGTCTCCTTATCTCCATGGTGACTGGTGGTGTTCTGTCCCCAGAATCGGCATGAGATGCTGACTCTGGAGGCCCTGCACACACTGTTGCACGTGAAGTGGAAGAAATTTGCCAAGTACATGTTCTTCCTGTCCTTCTGTTTTTATTTCTTCTACAACAACACCCCAACTCTCGTCTCTTACTACCGTCCTCGGGAGGAGGAGGTACGTGGGTCTTTGGGGGTGAATGGGGAGGTCAGATATGGAGGAGCTTGGAGCTTTCCCTGGGCAGGTGGGGAAACTAAGGCCCAGAGAGGCATAGAGATTTGTGTGCGGGTCACCTTCAAAGTTTCCAGGGAACTGAATATGTCTTTAGAACTTAGGAGGGCTAAGCTCCAGGCACTTAGCCCCAGGGGAATTCAGGTTGGGGAAAGTTGGGGAATCAGGAAACCCAGGCCCTGTCCAGGCTTTTGATCTGAATCTAGAATGCATTGGGTGTTTCTGCTGTCAGGGCCACAGGAGATGGGAGGAGTGTATGGTCACTTGGCCAAACTACCCACCCCTCTGGGCCTTGGTTTCCCACCCAACACCAGAGCACAGA